AAGGACAGCAGCTTCAGACGGGAGAATGCTAGCAAAGCCACGCGCCAGGTGCGTGCAGCTGCAGTGGCTCGAAGGTTGCTTGGCTTCAAGCGTGGCGATGCTGGAGCACATGACCCCACTTTCGTTACCATTCCAGCCACAGGAAATGGCAAACAGAAAAGAGTTGGAATGTCTTACGTCATTTGCAAAACTTGTGGCAGTATGGCTTTGACAGCGAAGCGTTTGGCAAAGATTGCTTGTGAACAGTATGCTTCCAGCAAAGGGCCCAAACGAAAGCAGTTGGTGGAAAGATTGCGTGCGTGCCTCAAAAATGCAGACATCAGCGATGACCTCAAGAAGGGTGCCCGCACAGTTTTGGAAATCATCGACTCTGGAGCATTTCGCACCACTGATACTGCAGCAGACAGCACGCATCAGATTGAGGCCATTGTGTGGCCTGCCAATTTTACGGTGCGTTTTGCTTGTGTGCATTGCAAGCGTTGTGTCAACAACATCAGACGGCTTACAGGAAGTCAGTGTCCTCGTAAAATGGTTTGGACTAAGTTTCGAAAGGGCCAGAGGGATATTTTGGTGCCTCTTGCGGCTCAGGCTCCAAGTGCCAGACAGCGAGCTGCTTCGCGAGCTTTGGACATTTTGGGATTGCAGCAGGATGGCGCTGTGGATCAGAACCCATGACGGGCTCTGACAGCACTATGCGGTTGGGGACTATGAATGTACGGTCCTTGGGAGGCCGCTTGGGTGGTGTGCTTGACTTTGCTCAGCTCCAGAATTTACATGTTCTGTGTCTTCAAGAAACTAGAGTTAACAATCACAGCTGGAATGCTGTGACTCGTGCCGTCAAGGCACGCGGGTGGCAACTTTTTCCTGGCCCTCAAGGAAGAAATTCGAAAAATGTAGTGGAAGGTGGTACATTGGTTCTAACAAAGTGGCCTGCTGAGGCCTTGGCCCTTCCTGTCGACATGGTGTCTGTGGAAAGATCCATGGCCGTCAAACTCTATAGACCTCAGCAAAGGCCGTTGATTCTCATCAATGTTTACTTACATGCTTCAGATCGCACAGCTGCCAGCCGTGCGCTGGGTGCGCTGTTCGAGTTTGTTGCTGCTTGTGGTGAAGATACAGTGATCATGGGTGACTTCAATTTGGAAATTCATTGTTGGCCAATTTCTAACGTTTTGGCTACTGGACAGTGGCGGTCCTGTGATGAGCTGGTTTGCGGAGATCGTGTTTTAGGTGGTACACATCGAACTGCTGCAGGTGTTTATACAGGTGTGGTCATTGACTATGGCTTGTGCACTCCTCGGTTAATTATTACTGGTAGGGAGCAACATCTTGGCGTGGCTGACCATGACGCGGTGGTTTACAACTTGCATGTGCCTGGTTCATTATCCACACCGTGGACTCTCCCAGTTGGTGCCCCTTTGCATTCTGAAAAGGTCGCTGAAGCTTCTTGGCTAAGTGCTTGGGAAGAAGTATGTGACGATTTTGGAAATGCATTGAGTACAGGCAACGTGGACTCTGCTTGGACCTTACTTAGCAACTGCGCAGAATCTCTTCTTCTCGCACGTGGCAAAACTGGTCGTGCTATGCGCCAGGGCCCGCAGCAAATTGCCAGTCCTCCGTCTTCAAAAGCGCCTTCTTTGCAAACAGTGAAAGAGCGCAAGCTCAGACGCTTCGCACGAAGAGTGGTGGAGTACCAAAAGGCCCCGTTGCCAGAGTTGGAGAAGAAGTTGGTTCGTGATGGCCCTCATTTACATCATTCTTTGGCTTTTTTCTCTTTGGATGACCCCAGGTTGGTTAGTGCAGTGCTAGAATTGGCAAATGCAGAAGCTACAGCAGCGTCCAAGTTACGCTTGGAGGCGTGGAAGGACAGCGTGCAGGAAAATGCCACCAAACTAGGCAGGTGGGTCAAACAGGTGCCGCCCGCCAGTCCTACTGCAAGTTTTGATGGCCCCATTCTACCTGCAGATAGGGCCAAGTGCGCAGCATTGGATTGGGAGAGGTATTGGAATCCAGGGTCGCTTCCGAATTTGAATCTGGGGGACCAGTTGTACTCTCAGATTGGCTCTGCAAGCGATCCATTGCCGGATGACTGTATTCAGGTTAGTGGTTCTGAATTGGTTCGGATTGCGCTCAAAGCGAAGGACAAGGCTCCGGGCATGGATGCCTGGACAGCTCTCCATTTGTGCAATCTTCCCATTGCTTTTTGGGATCAGGTCGGTGCTCTTTGGGATGCTTGCTTGCGACATGGCTGTGTTCCTGCGATGTGGAAAGATGTTAGAATTGCTTTGTTACCAAAAGCTACTGGTGGCATGCGCCCTTTAGCCATTGTCACTGTCCTGTGGCGTATTTGCATGAGTGCCACTCTGAAAAAATTACAGCCTTGGATTGCGGAATGGGCTTCGCCCGAACTTTTTGGTGGTCTACCAGGCAAGGGCATCATGGAAGTCCATGAACGTTTCTACGAAGCTGTCAGCGCGGCAAAGCAGTCTCGTGTCGATTTGGTCGGGTGCAAAGCTGATGTTCGCAAGTGTTTTGATTCAGTTTGCCCTCAGACAGCCATTAAAGTGTGGCGATGGTTCGGTGCTCCCTCATCAATTTGTGATTTACTCGCTGATTTTTACAGTGAACAGCGTCGTTGGTTTGCTTGGCAAGGTTCTTATCACCCTCATCCGGTTATTGCTCAACGGGGTTTGTTGCAAGGCTGTCCAGCCAGCCCTGCGCTACTGAACGCTTTGATGACAGTTTGGGTGAGGTTTGTCAAACGGCAGGAACCAAGGATTTCTTTGGCTATTTATTTGGACGATCGCACCATGTGGAAACAAGGTTGTCAAAGTTTTGAAGTGGTCATCAACGCCATGACTGCGGGAGCGCAAGCCGATGCTATTCTCGGCTTCGAACTTCACCCTGACAAATTGGCTAGCTTCGCCACCAAACCGCATCTGGTTGCCAAGGTGCGCAAGAAGAAAGATTTAGTAGGTGTACCTGCGGATACTTTCACACTGCTTGGCATTCAATACAATTTGTCACGCCCCAGTTCTTGTGTTGATGCGGATATTGTCAGTGACAACATTCAGCGACGGTGTCTCAAAATTCGTTTGGCAGCACAGCACTTAGGCACTCGCATTGCATTGGTGCATAAGTTGGTGATATCTTTATTTGCTTGGTCCGGTGCTTTTCATCACTTCAGTGCAAGAACCATTCGAACATGGACATCTATGATCGAAACTGCACTTTGGGGTCGAAGGGCTCCTCCAGGTAGGAGCCGGCTGCTCTTTTGGAATTCTTTGGGTTCTGCAAGACTACATCCGATGTTTGCGCTCCAGTTCACCGCCGCCCGGGCGGAATGGAATCGGCAATGCCGCCGTGCCCAAGGGTTGCCTGCAGCTACCTCGCCTGCTCCTCGCTGGAAAGCAGTGCTCAAAGATTGGAAATGGCGACTTGACGATGGCCTGTGGCACACGCCTGCTGGGATTTTGAAACCTGGGTGGATGTCTTTGAAAAGCTTGCAAAAGGCCGCTATCCATTCATGGCTCGTTGGTTTGTGGACTAAAGACACCAAAACGGATGGTCGATGGCCAAACGGCAAGGAGCCGGTTTTCCTTTTTCAGGCAAATGCAGCTTTAGGCATGGATTACTACAGTCGCAGGGTTTTGACTGGTGCTGCAGTGGATGGCAGGGTCACAGAGCGCTTTGGTTCTGCTTTGAGTTGTGAATGTGGATTGCGGTCTCCTGATCGAGAACATCTCACTTTTCACTGCCAAGCGCAGCCATGGGATGGTGAGTTCAGGAGCGCTACTGAACGTCGTTTGCTGGTTCCACTTGTGGATGCTCCTCCTGTGTTGCCTTTTTCCAACATGGTTGCAGATCCTGCTTTGGTTACTTTTATTCAGCAATTCGATCCTCTTCAGCGACCCACCTTGGGTTTGGACGGCAGTTGTATCATAGCTACTTCCTGTGATCGATGGCAAAGAGCTAGCTGGGCGGTTTCGACACTTTCAGGCACCACTGTTCAAGGTGCCGTGACTGGTTTTGAGCAAACACCTGCTGCAGGTGAGCGTGCTGCTCTTCTGCAAGCTTGTTTAGCCTCTTCTGCAGCTAACAGACCGGTGATGCTCTTGATTGACAATCAGGCTTTGGTGCGGCGGCTTCAGCGAGGCATTAGCACTGGCCGTTGGGAGGGTGACTTGCCGCTTTTCTGGCAGCGGATCAGCGGCTTATTGATTCAGGGCACTGTTTGCACTTGGATCCCTTCTCACAACAAGGTGCCTGACTGGACACCACCAGATGGTTGGATTGATGTTCATCTCTGCCGCGTTCTCAATGCGACAGCCGATGCTCAGGCAGGTGAGGTGTTGCGTGACTCACGCTCCATGATCGCTGCGGCTGTGCAGCGACATCAGCGAGCCGTGGCTTGGGCTGCAGCAGTTTGGCGTCTGCAGAGGCTACGGACTTTACCTTTTTGGCAAGTCGTACTTGATCAACAAACATTCCATGCGGAATGCTAGCTGGCGCACTGTGTTTACTTCTTTTTTATTTCAGGCAGGTTTCGCTTCCTTTGAGTTTTGCTTGGAGAAGTATGGGAACTTGATTCTCGCAGATGGCATACTATGGCGTCTTAACTACTTCACTTCGGTGAGGAGCAGGTTGACGTCCGCTTACAACAACAACAACGACACCATTTACGAGGATTTGGTGTTGCTTTGAGGAATCGATTGCAGCCTGGCGCTCAGTTTGTCTCATTGAGCATATTGAGCTGTGAGTTCTTCGATTGTGAAATTCTTAGAACTTCCCAAAAATTTCAGGTCTCAATCTTCAAATGTTATGGCTAAATGTGACATGAGGTGGAGGAACGGGACACCAACTCTTTGCTACTTGATGTTGCTGCCACAGATCTTTGCCATGTTGCCCATGTCATCACTGATGGCTTAGTCGGTGCTGAGACCCGGGTTCTCCCCATCTTGGGTTTGCTCTGCAAGTCACGCCGTGAGCAATCCTTTCCAATGGATTTGCTTCAGAAAGGTCTCAGCGTTGACATTGCTGCAGCACAAGCGTCCAAAGAAGAGGACAAGACACGGATTTTGAACTCCGTGCGATGTCCGCGAGCCAGGACATGGGCATTGGACACGCCTTTTCCAACGCAGCACCCCCGCTATGATGCCGTCAACAGAGCTTTAGCCTCCCACTTTGCACTGACCAGCATCCAGCAGTCATATCGTAACGGACAAGCGCAAGCCCCATCAAGCCTGTGGCAAGCACTACGGTCAGATGCAGAAAGAAAGAACATCCAAGTGTCACTGACAGGCTGCCACAGTTTCCGAGACCCGGACTTGCGTATTCTCATGGATAACCTGCCATCCCAACTGCAAAGTCTACGGCTCGATCTTGCCTACACTGGTTTGGAGCGTTTGGATGATCTAGCGGGTGCTTCCGGTGCTTCCTTCGGAAACGCCCTTCAGACCCTAGTGATTCGCTTCGCAGGATCTTTAAGAAGCATTTCTGGCTTGTCTGCTTTGCTTTGCCCTTCCTTGAGACGTTTGGAGCTGTGGCTGTCAGACCTTCCAGACTTAGAAGACATCGAGTTGGGCGTCAGCAACAAGGCATTGTTGAAGCTTCGTTTGGAGGAGCTTGCAGGGTAGGTTGAGGCTTGTTTTCTCACCATGTGACTACTGCACACCCCCCCCCAATTTTTTCTGTGGAATTTCGAGAGCTGTTTGCTTTTGGAGATTGAAATTTGAAGGAGCTGGTCTTGTATGTGAATGGCTGTCCCAGCGTACCGCGCGAATCCAAGACAGCATTGAAGCTTGGTGTGGTTTAGCTTTACCCAAAGACGTTTATGATAATGTGGAAATAATGATATTCGAAAAAATTGGAGATGACCCCATGAGAAGTTGTCATTGTTCCACATTGTTCCTATGAACGTGACAGAAAACATGTCATTCAAAATGCGATTGGCTTCAATGAATTGAAATGACAAACCGAATTTATTCAAGGTTTGCTGCCACTCGGCAGCTGAAGCAGTGCCTTCGACGCCGGCCTTACATGTGGGTTCACATCGAGGACGGTTTCAGACATGGTTTCTGTACAGTTCGATTCAATCTGGTTCAAAACACCAGCAGAGAAATGGCAGATGCAATGGTATGGCACTTTTAGCAACATAAGAATCTTCCATTCAATGCCAGCCTGTCGCAAAAAGTTGCAACTTGCAATACGACTTGTGCCGCACCTTGTGCCGACTCCCAGGATACAAACACCTGGACGCTGAATCTCTGCCTTGGGAAGCTCAAGGCATGGAACACAGTCAAGCCACGTTGCACCGGCTCGTAACGCAAGCTGCAACGCAATGTGCAACGTAATGTGCCATGTAATTGCCACGTTGATGGTAATGTGGTTGTTTAAATTACGAAAGCCAGCTGGGAAGCTGGCTAGTTGTTATTCGCGAACGAAGTGAGGTCGGGGGAGGTAGTTGCCTCAAGTTGTAAACAGGTGGTGTTTTAGGCGTGCGAAAGTTATGGTTTTGCAGGGTAACGTACCATGCGGCAAAACAGTGACGGTGGGTATCGATTCCCCCTATAGGTCCGGTTGTTTTCTACGTCCATGGGTCAAAAGTATGTAGGTGAAAACACTCAGGGTGCAAAGTCTGAGGTCGGGGGTTCGCTTGGAGCGCCGAAAAGTGGATCGCTTAGAGCGCCAGAAAGTGGATCGCTTGGAACGCCGAAAAGTGACATAAGAGATACATAGCGCTAGAGTTCCATATACTGTATGCGCAGAGGCATATAGACACATAAATGGATGCATTCATATGTCGCTGAAGCACGCGATAACATTCGATGCGATCCGCTTTTCGGCATTACCTGACGAAGAAACGTATCAGGAACGTCTTGCAAGTTACTTGACGAAGATGTTACAACGTATCAGGAACAGCTGGCACGTTACTTGAAGAAGAGTTTTCAACGTATCAGGAACGCCTGGCAAGTTACTTGAAGAAGATGTTCCAGCGTATCAGGAACATCTGGCAAGTTACTTGAAGAAGATGTTACGACGTATCAGGAACATCTTGCAAGTTACTTGATGAAGAGTCTACAACGTATCAGGAACATCTTGCAAGTTACTTGAAGAAGATGTTACAACGTAGCAGGCACGTCTTGCATGTTACTTGAAGAAGATATGGCAACGTATCAGGAACGTCTTGCAAGTTACTTCGAAATTCAAGAAGATGTTACAACGTATCAGGAACGTCTTGCAAGTCACTTGACGAAGATGTTACGACGTAGCAGGAACGTCTTGCCTGTGTGTGCACAGGAGCATGAACGTTATTACCCCACCCCACCCTACCCCACCGGTAACTGATCATGACAGAACAGTGCAGTGCCTGTGTCTGCAGGACAGCAAGAAAGATGATGAGGTTGCTGTGCCTGTGTGTGCACAGGAACATGAACGTTATTACCCCACCCCATCCCACCCCACCCCACCCCACCGGTAACTGATCATGAAAGAACAGTGCAGTGCCTGTGTCTGCAGGACAGCAAGCAAGATGATGAGGTTTCTGTGCCTGTGTGTGCGCAGGAACATGAACGTTATTACCCCACCCCACCCCGCCCCACAAGAGCAGTGCAGTGCCTGTGTCTGCAGGACAGCAAGAGAGATGATGAGGTTGCTGTGCCTGACCCCATGTCCCAGCCCCGTGTCCGCAAGTTTTGCCCTAAAGGTATCATTCTCTGGTGCTCTAAGTGATCCACTTTTTTGGTGCTCTAAGTGATCCCATGGTGCTCTAAGCGATCCGGTGCTCCAAGTGATCCACTTTCCGGTGCTCTAAGTGATCCCTTAACCAAAGTCTGAGGGTGCAAAGTCTGTGGGTGAAAAGTCTGTGGGTGAAAAGTGTATGGGCGAAAGTCTGCGGGTGAAAAGTCCGTGGGTGAAAAGTCTGTGGGTGAAAAGCCCGTGGGTCAAAAGTATATAGGTGAAACGGGTATGGGTGAAAAGTCTGAGGGTGCAAAGTCTGTGGGTGAAAAGAGTGTGGCTTAAAAAAATGTGGGCGAAACATGTATTTAATTGCCTGCGGCAAGCCCGCCGGCCATAGCCATTTGGTGCATAGAGACATTTTATATGAGCCTTCGGCGTAGTCGCAGACCGTGGCCTGGACAAAAAAAAAGGCCAGTGTGTGTGTAAAAGCATCTGTGCGTCAAAGCTGCGGTGTGTAAACGCTTCTGTGTGTAAAAGCATCTGTGCGTCAAAGCTGCGGTGTGTAAAAGCTTCTGTGTGTAAAAGCATCTGTGCGTCAAAGCTGCAGTGTGTAAAAGCTTTTGTGTGTAAAAGCATCCGTGCGTCAAAGCTGCGGTGTGTAAAAGCTTTTGTGTGTAAAAGCATCTGTGCGTCAAAGCTGCGGTGTGTAAAAGCTTCTGTGTGTAAAAGCATCTGTGCGTCAAAGCTGCGGTGTGTAAAAGCTTCTGTGTGTAAAAGCATCTGTGCGTCAAAGCTGCGGTGTGTAAAAGCTTCTGTGTGTAAAAGCAGCTGTGCGTCAAAGCTACGGTGTGTAAAAGCTTCTGCGTGTAAAAGCATCTGTGCGTCAAAGCTGCGGTGTGTAAAAGCTTCTGTGTGTAAAAGCATCTGTGCGCCAAAGCTGCGGTGTGTAAAAGCTTCTGTGTCTAAAAGCATCTGTGCGTCAAAGCTGCGGTGTGTAAAAGCTTCTGTGCGTCAAAGCTGCGGTGTGCAAAAGCTTCTGTGTGTAAAAGCATCTGTGTGTAAAAGCTTCTGTGTGTAAAAGCGTCTGTGTGTAAAAGTTTCTGTGCGTAAAAGCTTCTGTGTGTAAAAGCTTCTGTGTGTAAAATCGTCTGTGTGTAAAAGTTTCTGTGTGTAAAAGCTTCTGTGTGTAAAAGCTTCTGTGTGTAAAAGCTTCTGTGTGTAAAAGCGTCTGTGTGTAAAAGCCTCTGTGTGTAAAAGGTGCTGTGTGTAAAAGCAGCTGTGCGTCAAAGCTGCGGTGTGTAAAAGCTTCTGTGTGTAACAGGTTCTTTGTGTAAAAGCTTCTGTGTGTAAAAGCGTCTGTGTGTAAAAGTTTCTGTGTGAAAAGCTTCTGTGTGTAAAAGCTTCTGTGTGTAAAAGCGTCTGTGTGTAAAAGCTTCTGTGTGTAAAATCTTCTGTGTGTAAAAGCTTCTGTGTGTAAAAGCGTCTGTGTGTAAAAGCGTCTGTGTGTAAAAGCATCTGCGTGTAAAAGGTTCTGTGTGTAGAAGTGTCTGTGAGTAAAAGCTTCCGTGTGTAAAAGCCTCTGTGTGTAAAAGCTTCTGTGTGTAAAAGCATCTGTGTGTAAAAGCTGCTGTGAAAAGCTTCTGCCTGTAATGTGTGTCAAAGGTTCTGTGTGTAAAAGCTTCTGTGTGTAAAAGCTTTTGTGTGTAAAAGCCTCTGTGTGTAAAAGGTGCTGTGTGTAAAAGGTGCTGTGTGTAAAAGCTTCTGTGTGTAAAAGCGCCTGTGTGTAAAAGTGTCTGTGTGTAAAAGCGTCTTTGTGTAAAAGCTTTTGTGTGTAAAAGCATCTGTGCGTCAAAGCTTCTGTGTGTAAAAGCCTCTGTGTGTAAAAGCGTCTGTGTGTAAAAGCGTCTGGGTGTAAAAGGTTCGGTGTGTAAAAGTGTCTGTGTGTAAAGCCTCTGTGTGTAAAGCCTCTGTGTGTAAAAGCTTCCTCTTTGGAAAAGCTTCTGTGTAAAAGCTTCTGCGTGTAAAAGCTGTTGTGTGTCAAAGGTTCTGTGTGTCAAAGGTTCTGTGTGTAAAAGCGTCTATGTGTAAAAGCTGCTGCGTGTAAAAGCTGTTGTGTGTGTAAAAGCTTTTGTGTGTAAAAGCTTCTGTGTGGAAAAGCTTCTGTGTGTAAAAGCTTCTGCGTGTAAAAGCTGTTGTGTGTCAAAGGTTCTGTGTGTCAAAGGTTCTGTGTGTAAAAGCTTCTATGTGTAAAAGCTGCTGCGTGTAAAAGCTGTTGTGTGTGTAAAAGCTTTTGTGTGTAAAAACTTTTGTGTGTAAAAGCTTGTGGGTGGAAAAAGCACTAGAAATGCGTCACTCTGCTTGGGGAGAGCTTTTTGGACGGAAGCCGGGAACGCCTCTGTGTGTAAAAGCTTCTGTGTGTAAAAGCCTCTGTGTGCAAAAGCTTCTGTGTGTAAAAGCGTCTGTGTGTAAACGCGTCTGTGAGTAAAAGCTTTGGTGTGTAAATGCTTCCGTGTGTAAAAGCTTCTGTGTGTAAACTTCTGACGAGTCGAAGTCGGAGTAGGCATCGGAGGATGCGTAGGAGTGGGAGTAGGAATGGGAGTAGGAGTGGTAGTAGTACGAGTGGCAGTAGTGGCAGTAGTAGTGGTGATGGTGCTGGTGGTGGTGGTGGTCGTAGTAGTAGTACTACTAGTAGTACTAGTACTAGTACTAGTACTAGTAGTAGTAGTAGTAGTAGTAGGAGTAGGAGTAGTAGTAGTAGTAGTAGTAGAAGTAGTAGTAGTAGTAGTAGGGAGGAGGGGGGGGGTGACTTTGATTCAGACGAAGCAAAAACGCGCGGGAAGAGAACAAAGGAACAAGTACAAGCCAAGAACAGAAACAAGTACAAAACAAGAACAGAAACAAGAACAACACCTCACAATCAGACACGCCGGCAGGCCGGCGGATTGGTGAAAGTCCCTGGGTGAAAAGTATATGGGTGAAAAAAATCTGATGGTAAAAAGAACGTATATTGGTCAAGAGTCTCTGGGTGAAAAGTTTGAAAAGCCTGCGGAAGAAGAGTTTCGGGGTGAAAAGTGTATAAACCTAAATATGTGGGCGAAAAGTATGTGGGTGAAAATATATGGGTGAAAGTCTGTGGGTGAAAAGTATGTGGATGAAAAACCCGTGGGTGAAAAGTCTCTGGGTGAAAAGTCTGTGCAAGAAGAGTTTCTGGGTGAAGAGTCTCTGGGTGAAAAGTATACGGGTGAGAAGTATACGGGTGAAAGACTCTGGGTGAAAAGTCCGTGGGTGAAAAGTATATGGGTGACAAGTCTGTGGGTGAAAAATCTTTGGGGGAAAATAGGGGTAGATGGGATGCTGGTTTTCGTTCCCCCCTTCTCATGTTCGTGCCACGTAATGTAATGGAACCATATGGTTTCATAATTGTTTCGTTCGTTCCAACGGCATATTTCGAAGGCTCCGTTGATGATTTGGACTCATTTGGTAGCTGTTGATCGATGCAATGTTCATTTTGATTTGCACAGGTGGGTCGTTCACAAAGCCACCTTGAGATAGGCGAGCGCCGTTTACAAGTCAGACTTGCTACCTTCGAACCAAACAGAAATTCGACAGGTATCGTACAGGTAGAGGTTGCACATTTAGCTTTCATGGGTACACTTGGCTGTGTTGAGTTACTCCAGTCTAGCGGTGCATGGCTGTCTTAGCGTCATCAACAAAATTGCCAGATTCATTGCATCAGTGACCACATGTAGAAATATGTAGACATGAACTGCAGACGGTTCGCTGCAAGAGGTTCACTCAGTTCACCCACGCCTCCTGCCAGCGCAGCTTCGCTGGCCGAGATTCCAGAGTCACAAATCGAACCTCGACCCAAGGAACCCCTGGAATGCATAGCTCCAAGTTTGCATGGCTCCCTGACACCCTGAGTTCAATGGAGTATTTGCAGGCAAAATGTCTTTGGATGTCTTTGGCCAAACATGGTTGTACCAGTTGTACCATGTTTTCTCATAAATTTTCCTCTGTGAACTAAAGGCAGGCTATCGAAGGTTCTTCCCGAATGCGTAGCAAGTGTTCCCATTTCACACTGGGGATTTGGGGGTTGAGGGTGTGTTCGCCAGACGTTGTGCAACCGTTCGCAACCGGGCTGCATCTATTTTTTTTCCCGGCCTCCCCTGCTTCAGGATCCGTTCCCGTGCCATTGCTGCGCGAAGTTCCACGGAAATTCTCATGGATACTGCAATGCTCATCGACTTTCCCGATTTTACCACAATGCGTTCTCCAGATGTCATCTCGTGCCATGGATACAGACAGATTTGCTGTCATGGTTTGCATATGCCGTGATGCAAAATTCAAGTTTTCAAAAAGAGCTGGGAATAGAAAGTATGTAACCACTGGACCACATGTCTGCAACATGCTCTGCAACATTGTTGAAGTTGTGACCCATAGGCCCATAGGCTCAAATCACCCCCAGCCAAACAGCTCCGACTCTGCTGGCATTGCGCTCTGAGGTTTTTCAATATGCAGAGCTGCTGATGATTTTCTTTGTACAAGCCACGGCTGATATCGAATCGAGGGGCTTGCTGGCCTTGATTGTCATCTCTTTGCAGCTCGCACTTGAATCACCATGCTGTGCCAATGGCCGGTCACATTTCATTACCAAATGTATATTTTATGTTGTAACACGTTTTCACATGGTGCTGCACATGACCATAGCTGATAGCCGTAGGTATCCTGTGCTCTGGATGAGCCTTGATCGATTGGTGGGAGGGTCGGCCACCGCAATTTGTATCGTGTTGATCTCGCTGCTCTTCGCATCTGTATCTTATGCACTGCTGCGATTCGATCAGATGCACCGAGCGACTCTGGAACTGTCGTTGGCTTCTGAAGCCATTTGCTCACAGGCACCCCATCAAACCCAAATATGGCAAACATGCGAAATAGATGGAAATAGGGGGTACCGGAAAACCATGGAAAACCATCCAGAAATCGGCTGTTTCCGCTTGCCCATTGCCAGATTACCAGAGGGTACTGCAGTGCATCGGACAAACTTTTCTAGCAACGCATAGAGTAACTCTTTGTCTGAAAATTTAGTTTATAGTTTCAAATTATCCAAATAATCCACTCAATCCATAGTTTTACAGTTTTTCTGTGTCCGACATTTGGAAAAACTGAGCCCTGGAGGCGATTCGTCCTGCGAACTTGTCGCACCTCTCTCTGGTCTTTGGAAGTTCCGCTGATGACTTCCCGAACACAGATTTGCGACAAAGCGAAACGGATTTGACGCTGTGAAAAATATTTCAAAATGCAACATATTTCACGCATGTCAATTTTTCTCATTTTGTATTTGATTGTTTTCGCATGTTTTCGCAAAGAAAGTGCATGTCGAGCTGATAGCGGTCGTGTAGGTCTTGGCAAGCGACCCCATGCATGAGCCAAGGACAAGCAACTTCCGTCAGGCACGGATTCACTTTCTCAGCTTTCAGACGCTAGGAGAAGTTTGGACCATTCAGAATTGGTTCTTTCCAGTCTTTGCAGCCTCAAAAATACACATCCGCAGCACAACAGTGACTATCGGTCACTATCTGTCTTCTCTTTGACCCATTGCAGTCGCAAATTGCAGTGACAAGAATAGTCGGTGCATAATCAGTGCATAATCAGTGCCCCATCTGTAGGCAGTGGACAGAATCACTCATCAGATCCAGTCCCCTTGAGCATGCAGATCCATCGCTTTTCATAGCAGGTGTTGTAGCTCGGGATTGCCTCAGGAATGCTCTGCGCCAAGCCCTGGGCGAAGGTGAAGTGGCGATTGCAACAGCAAATGCAAAGATCAAGCGCCTCGCCGACCTTGAAACGAGTCAAGGATCTCGCCACGAGATGCCACGAGTCAAAAGCCTTGAAGCCAAGTTGTGTTCAAGTTTTGTTCAGATCTGTTCAGAGTTGCTCTGTGATTTGGACATGCTCCTCCATTCACATTTCCAGGAGCAGACCATGATGTTCTTTCTTGCGAAATCCATTGTGAATCCCTCCAGCAAGTTCAACTGGTGTGGCTTGCGCTAAGCAAAAGATTTCAACGGGAAGAAGAACCGTGGAAGATCGTGGCATTGTGGGATGGATTTGCCCAAGAAGAGGAGCGGAGATGCAGCAAGATCGTGATGTCCATGAACGGCCAGCTGGCATATCTTGGCATGTCATTCACGGCATTTGATACATCCCCGTCTGGTGGTCCTGGCTGAAAAGGGGGGAGCTCTACCTCAAAAAATTAGCCAGCTGCAACTGTTACCTGACACTTGTACCCATGGTTTTCAGCCAAGCCCCAGATAGCATCATTTCTGAGAAATAGAGTTTCAGGATGCAGTTGAGCATGTGTTCATGTTATGTTGGTTCCACAGTTTTCAGCCACAGCTCTACTCGATTCCTTATATTTCTATGCTGACCTCAGATCCATAGTTTTCATCCAACAACATTGGGAAAACAGACACATCAACCAAGAGGTGAATCCCAAGTTTCCAGCCATTGCGCAATAAATCCTAGGGCCTAGGGTTTGAGACTTTGCAGTGTTCAGGTCATTGGATTCCTGAAAAGTCAGCGTGGGAGAAAATAATTGTTTTACAATGACCTTGTTGAGACAAACCATCAACAAGACAAATCGTTTCACAATGGACTTGTTGAGTTGAAATCCTGGAAATATGCTTCGCGCCACAACGGCGTACACTTTTTTGACCTCTCAACTCCCAAAAGTGGTGCCCACCGGTGCGTTTTGTGCATTTTGACTTGCAAATGTGCTTCGCGCCACAACGGCGTGCACTTTTTCGACATCTCAACTTCCAAAAGTGCTCCGAGACCCAGGTGTTTTGTACATTTTCGCTTGGAAATGTGCTTCGCGCCACAACGGCGTGCAATTTGTCATCTCTCAACTGGCCAGCTGGCTCCGCAACCGCCGCTTTAGCGAGCCTACTTTTCGACCCTCCGGAGCCGCAAATCACTGGAAAGGTTTTGTCACGTAACTTGCGAGTGAACTTGCTGCCAACAATGAAATTGTTGAGATGAAATCCTGGGGTCTGAGGTTTTGACATGTAACCTGTAAGTGAACTTGCTGCCCACAGTTAAAAACTTGTTGAGACAAACTATCAAGAAAGCAAACCGTTGCACCATGAACTTGTTGAGACAAACCACTCCAGAGGTGAATCCGAGGTTTCCAGCCATCGCGCGCTTTTCAAGCATCAGATGCGGTTTTTTTTCGAAAAAAAAGTTGAAAGCTTCAGATGCAAGGTTTTTGTCGAAAAACCAGTTGAAAGCTTCAGATGCAAGGTTTTTTTTCGAAAAAACAGTTGAAAGCTTCAGATGCAAGGTTTTTTCGAAAAAACAGTTGAAAGCTTCAGATGCTAGGTTTTTTTTCGAAAAAACAGTTGAAAGCTTCAGATGCAAGGTTTTTGTCGAAAAACCAGTTGAAAGCTTCAGATGCAATGTTTTTTTTCGAAAAAACAGTTGAAAGCTTCAGATGCAAGGTTTTTTCGAAAAAACAGTTGAAAGCTTCAGATGCAGGTTTTAGTTAAAAGCTTCAGATGCAAGGTTTTCTCGAAAAAACAGTTGAAAGCTTCAGATGCAAGGTTTTTTTTTTCGAAAAAAAAGTTGAACGCTTCAGAAACAGGATGTGAAAGATTCAACAGGATGTGCGTGTGTTGGCCTGCATCTCAGGTGCCTATGATTTCAGCCACTTGAAACATGTAAGTTGTAAGATGCAAGGTAACCTCACATCCCCTAGTTTTCAGCCACGGGAACATATTAGTACTTTTCCTACTTTGGCTAAATTTTTGGGGTCGGGGTCATGTTTCCAGCCCATGGCTTTCAGTCTTGGTACCTACCCTTTCAGCCAGCATATTGGCTGGAATGGGGGCTGTAGACCCTAAGAATTCCATCCATCGGGGATTTGATACATTTGCAGGCCATTCAAAGCAGGACCGTTTCCCTTTATTCTTAAGTGGATAAAATATGCTGAAACCGATGATACATATGTTGATATGTGTTGATTCATTTCCAACATAACTTGCTCTAGCTTACACATTTAGTATACATTTAGTAATCGTTGCTGAAGCGTTGCGAAGCTCAGGTTATTTGGCCACTGTCGTTCTTTGTGTTGCCTCCTTAACAAGGCTGCAGAGCAACCTCAGTGAACTTTGCCTTTTGGCCGATGCTTTTGGCCTCTTGGAGGATGCAAAGCCTCGAAGGTGGCTGCAACGTACGGATGGTCCAAGGAATGCAAAGGGCTCAAGTTTTGGAGAGATAGCGAGTTTGCCTCGCGGCTCACAGATTTTGGATGCTCTTCTTCCGGTGCTTCTGTCACTGGCTCGTTTCATTGCTATGATGACGGCAGCTTATTTCACGTGTCAATACTTCTTTCGCTACGGCCCTTCCAGCTTGCACGAAAGCATAGATCAACTGGGACAGCATCGCTTTGTCAAAGTCGCCTTTGGAGAACGCTTTGACGGCTCATGGTGGGATGCCTTGTGCTTATCAGGGCCTTATGCAGTTCTTGTAGTGGTTTTCGCACGCGATTTGCTTTGCTTTTCTGCTCCGACAGCTCAAAAACGGAAGAGCAGACAGCTGTCACAAATTGTCTATGACCGCTATTTTGGAGTTGAAGGCACCTACTACATGTTCAAAGTGGCTTTGCTACAGCTCCTGACCATTTTGCTTCAGGCGTTTGGGAAGCTTCATTTGCTCGGTGGCATTGCACTCTTTGCAGAACAGCAAAGGCTCTCAGTTGCAGAATCTTTGAAGGCAGGGAGTTGGATGAATATGCAACAAACGCATGGTTAAACGATGTTAAACGGTTAATCAGGTGGATGGCTTAGCCCTGAAGGTAACATTCTGGTTGTTTTGGGCGCTACTATTTTGCAACAGCGTCTACCCCAACATGCTCTTCATTTTCCCGGAGAGTATGCGGTGTCGCTACAGCTGTGCGATGCTGGACGTTTTCTTTGATCTAGGATATGTTTTGACCTACTTGGTGATGGTTGTGATCGGGGCGACCGAATTGCACGTGAACGTGTCTGTCTGGGGTAATTTTGGAAAGCTCTCGCAGCTGGGCTTTAGCAACAGCACCTTGCCATGCATTTGGTGCTGCGATCAGGTCCTTCTGGTGGCTGGTCATGGTTTAGGGTTTTGTGGCAAAACGTTTCATGACTTGGATTGTCTCAGATTGCATCAGGCATAAGTCCCAAGTTCGCTTTCCCTTCAGAGTTCCTCCAATACATGGCAGTCTATGTGAGCATTGCTCACGTGTGCTGCGCTTGTCGTGCTGTTCAGAGAGGGCAAATGCCTGAGTTGGAAGCCGCGAGAGATGCGCGCCCGAAGGTCGTCTGGGCCCATGTGAGATGTCAAACATGGGTGAGACGCTTCCTGAAGTACATCTACTCACCATGTTTGACGGCGTTGCTTGTCTACTTGCTGATCTGTCAGGATGCTTATCCAGGGCACAGAGGAGACTTCACGTGCTTCCCTTGCCGGTGTTCCGCTGGACGACTTCAAAGCTGCAGCTTGGCAGCGCAACTGCAGCAAGAGCAGCTTGTCATTGCTGGTGTCACCAGCATTGAGCCGCAGGCATTCAAACCTTTGGGTTGCCGCCTGTCGCGATTGTCCCTAGCAAACAATTCCATAACAAGCTTGGAAGCAAGAAGCTTTGAGCAACTCCCTTGCTTACAGATATTGGATATCAGCCGGGCAAAACTCCGCATGCTGGCCAGGGACTCTTTCTATGGATTGGAGCAGCTGGAAGTGCTCTCCCTGCATGGGAATGAACTCCACAACATCTCAGGAGACCATTTATCCCATCTGCCATCCCTTGAGAAGCTTCTGCTTGGAAGCAAGGCAGGCTGGGACAATGAGGCACAGACAGGTTACGATTTGGAAGCTGGAAACTTGATCAGGATTTTGCCGCCCCGACTATTTGAAGGAAATCCACACTTGAATTTTTTTGACATCAGTGGCAACAACATCACCAAAGTTGACCGAGACACTTTCGTTGGAGCGACAAACTTGCGATTCCTGGACCTTGGTCAGAACAGCCTGCGAGAACTTCCTGAAGGACTGTGCACCTTCTCAGTGCTGAGCATATTAAGACACATAAAAAATGATGCCGTTTTGACTTCTTAAAAAAATGTATGTGCACTTCCCGAAGGAGTCTTTGCTGGTCTCTGGAGTCTCCAGCAAGTGTCGCTGAACAACAACCAGCTCAGTGCACTTCCCGAAGGACTCTTTGCTGGTCTCTCGACTCTCCAGGAAGTGTGGCTGAACAACAACCAGCTCAGTGCACTTCCCGAAAGAGTCTTTGCTGGTCTCTCGAGTCTCCAGGAAGTGTGGCTGTACAACAACCAGCTCAGTGCACTTCCCGAAGGACTCTTTGCTGGTCTCTACAGTCTCCAGAAAGTGTGGCTGGAAAAAAACCAGCTCAGTGCACTTCCCGAAGGACTCTTTTCTGGTCTCTCGAGTCTCCAATTCTTGGGGCTGGACAACAACCAGCTCATTGCACTTCCCGAAGGACTCTTTGCTGGTCTCTCGACTCTCCAGAAAATGTGGCTGTACAGCAACCAGCTCAGTGAACTTCCCGAAGGACTCTTTGCTGGTCTCTCTAGTCTCCAAGTGTTGGGGCTGCACAACAACCAGCTCAGTGCACTTTCCGAAGGACTCTTTGCTGGTCTCTCGAGTCTCCAGGACGTGTGGCTGCACAACAACCAGCTCAGTGCACTTCCCAAAGGACTCTTTGCTGGTCTCTCGAGTCTCCAATTGTTGGCGCTGAACAACAACCAGCTCAGTGCACTTCCCGAAGGACTCTTTGCTGGTCTCTCCAGTCTCCAGAAAGTGTGGCTGGACAAAAACCAGCTCAGTGCACTTCCCGAAGGACTCTTTGCTGGTCTCTACAGTCTCCAGAAAGTGTGGCTGGACAAAAACCAGCTCAGTGCACTTCCCGAAGGACTCTTTGCTGGTCTCTACAGTCTCCAGACAGTGTGGCTGGACAAAAACCAGCTCAGTGCACTTCCCGAAGGACTCTTTGCTGGTCTCTCGACTCTCCAAGTGTTGGGGCTGCACAACAACCAGCTCAGTGCACTTCCCGAAGGACTCTTTGCTGGTCTCTCGAGTCTCCAGAAAATGTGGCTGTACAACAACCAGCTCAGTGCACTTCCCGAAGGACTCTTTGCTGGTCTCTCGACTCTCCAATTGTTGGCGCTGAACAACAACCAGCTCAGTGCACTTCCCGAAGGACTCTTTGCTGGTCTCTCGAGTCTCCAGGAAGTGTGGCTGTACAACAACCAGCTCAGTGCACTTCCCGAAGGACTCTTTGCTGGTCTCTACAGTCTCCAGAAAGTGTGGCTGGACAAAAACCAGCTCAGTGCACTTCCCGAAGGACTCTTTGCTGGTCTCTCGAGTCTTCAATTCTTGTGGCTGGAAAACAACCAGCTCATTGCACTTCCCGAAGGACTCTTTGCTGGTCTCTCGAGTCTCCAAGTGTTGGGGCTGCACAACAACCAGCTCAGTGAACTTCCCGAAGGACTCTTTGCTGGTCTCTCTAGTCTCCAAGTGTTGGGGCTGCACAACAACCAGCTCAGTGCACTTTCCGAAGGACTCTTTGCTGGTCTCTCGACTCTCCAGAAAGTGTGGCTGAACAACAACCAGCTCAGTGCACTTCCCGAAGGACTCTTTGCTGGTCTCTCGAGTCTCCAATTGTTGGCGCTGCACAACAACCAGCTCAGTGCACTTTCCGAAGGACTCTTTGCTGGTCTCTCGAGTCTCCAATTGTTGGCGCTGAACAACAACCAGCTCAGCGCACTTCCCGAAGGACTCTTTGCTGGTCTCTCGAGTCTCCAGAAAGTGTGGCTGCACAACAACAGCCTCAAGGAAGGCAGTGGCTGAAGATATTTTTTACTGTGTGCTTTGAAAAAAACCTGAGATCGAGTGGGCTGCCATACATGTGGGATATGTGGCAATTGTGGTTATATTCCTGTTGGTAAAATGTGCGACGGTTGGTTGGCACTGCATCACCACACGGTTCCTGTCCGGCATCCAGCGCTGGGAACACCGATGCCAGGTTTCGGGTTTCGACAAGGATGACCTTCATCTGGCAACGCGTGCGCCGGGCGTCACCATGACATGCCTTGGGATTCTCAGCTGCGCAGTTTTGGACTCCTTGTATCTCCTTGCGCTTTTTGGACTTTGAAACTTCGGAGTTTTCGTTCTGTTGGGGCTTTTTTGGGGCCCGGTTGCCGGTGCCAGACCCAGTGCCACGTTCCGAGGAAGCCATTTGCGACGACACTCCTGCACAGGTAAACGGTGGAAGTGTCAGGGATGGGACATGTGAACCACGACTATGGAATTTGGGAGCAAGCTTGACACTAGCTCTAGAACTGTTTGACCCGTTGAAGCATCCCGTTCATGGCAAAATCCTTCTTGTTCTTTCAATATGTAGCTTGGATATCGTCTCGCTGTTGAATTCATTGCAATGGCACAGGACCATAAGTGTAACAGTGTAACCATTAGTGACAAATACGTAACAGCATCGTAACATGAGTTGAACACAGCTGTTGTAACTCACAAATCTTGTCCGTTTGAGGGTCGGTTCCGAGAGGTGCTACCCTGTGAAGCTTCAGCGGCTTCATCCAAACCTCTTGGCGAGATGCTCCTGCCAGGGATGCGAGCTGAGAGGCTAGGTACCAACTTGAAAGGCTGCATACCTACCAGTGGACTTTTGAACCAATTTTGGTGGGGATTAAATAAATAAACCAATAAATATATATATATATAATACTCTATAATATATATAATATATATTATATATATATAATAATATATATATATATTAACTATTCTTAACTTATGATTAAATCTTAACTTGTGGTGATGCTTACTGAAGTGTTATACCCATCTTTTCACCCCAGCTGCAGCCCGGAGTGGCTTGGCAAGTGCCCATCACGGGGTGCATCTGGAATTGGCCCAGGAGAAAACGCATCACGTGACGGAGTTCTACGGTTGTTCCGGTCACGCGCTCGAAAGTCCATTGGAAAACGGTTCAGCCAATTGCTGGGCGACCTGTTTGTATTTCGTTACTTTATTTTCACTTAGTTTGCCACTGCTTACGAGCATGCTTACGGTTCAGGAATTTCCAAGACTTGACTGAGCCCATCACATTGGTTCTCAGCAGGATGAAATCGTTTTTCCCGGAAAGGTTTGACAGCAACTAAAATGGCAACGGAAACAAAACATTCATAATGCGGCCAGGCTGCATGCTTGTAGCAGTTCTAACTCTCTTTTCACAGGTTTCACGGCAAGGACCATGATACTCCCTGATTGGAGTGATTTGTGTGGTCATTTGTGATGCAGCGCGCTCCAAAACTCTTGGCCAAATAAGGTGCAGAGTGGAGGGTCTGGTTCTTCATTGAAATCATCCAGATTTCATGGCTTTCCTCGATGAGTATTGTCCTCTTGTAATGTGGCAGGCGCGTTGTTTTGGACGTGTCACTTGCGTCGCAAAGCCACGTAGAGGGAAACATGGAAAAACGTGGTTTTGTGCTTGTGTCAGGGCGGAAACATTCCTGACTTGGTTTTTGCCATGGTAAACTGCAGATGCGACGCCAAGGATTTGACAATGTCCGAACAGTGAACCGCACGCAGTGTCTATTTTCTCAGATTTAACTGTTCACTTTGGCCCTGAGGTTCCCCGAACCATTGCCTAACGCTAGTGGCACAACAGCATCCGACAGCATCCTTTTTGGTACGAACTCCTTCACGACGCTGACGTGTTTGCCAGGCAGAAACTGCCACCTGAGCTGTGGGAATACCATGGAATGCCTGATAAAAAAGTGCTGTCTTCGGTTCGTTGCTCGGACTGGCATCGCATCATGTTTGTTGTCAACATCCCGGTAGACCAAAACGTCCATGCATTAATGATCGCCTGGCAACAGCTGAGGTAACCCTACAAGCCAACCAAATTTGGAGAATCTGAATACTTGTTACTGTCCCAGCAGCACCTTTTCAAAATTATTTCTGAAAGTTTCAGGGGTATCTGCGGTATGCGTTATAGATAAATGTGAGAGCAAAGAGTGGCAACCTGCCAAAACTTCCAACCTTTTCTTTTGCTCCTGCAGGTAGCATTCCTTGCCCAAGACATTCTGCAAGAGGAACTTACTGAACTGGGCAGAGAAGTACATGAGACACACAAACACACAAAACAAGATGCACATTGGACATACCGAAAGGATTTTTGGTTTCGGCGTGTTCGAGCCTCCAAGAAGAATGGAGAGAGTACTTCAGGCAAGACAAACAAAGAGAAGTCAATCTAGTAGAAGCATGGATTGACATAGCCAAAACATCACGGCGGTTCTCCAACATGCCCGCGTTCAATTAGCACAGAATCCTTCAGCAGACTCGAACAAACTGAACAGCAACCAAACATATTCCTGCCTCGGGGTTATGGGCAGACGGGAGTTGAACAATGGTTCCTCCCAAGAGTGCGTTTCCTCCGGTGGGAACCAGGTGGGAACCAATTGGTCAGACTCAGCAGGCTTCCATTTGCTTCCTATGTCGTGATTCAATGTGACATGTGACATCCAGACATCCATGGAAAACAACCGTCACCTGTGCCAAACTTGCTGACTTTGCCATATTTGCTCAATCATTCAATCATGTCAGAATAGAACCCTCCAAATTCTTTGCAGTTGAATCAAAGATCGAACAAAGCCTTATTTCTCTCCTGGAGCCACACGTTGCCCATTTTTGCCGCTGCAGGTTTGGCCTTGAAGATGACCACTTCGAGTTGGGCGAAGAGCTTGGCGGAGGCTCTCAAGGTTGGGCACCAGGGACCCAAGATCAAGCAATGCTCCACATATCTCAGGATGATTTGCTTGACTCGTGCATCAAAATGTGCATCATGTGAAATCATGTGAAATAATGTGAAATCATGGAATCATGTGCATTTTTTTGAAAACTTTGCGAATTTAAACGGTTTCAGGACGTGTCTTTTTGTGCAAACGCCTTGGCACTGGCAACGAGTACGCTGTGAAGGCGCTGCAAAGAGTTGGGATCGCTGATCTGCCTCTTTACTATTGACCCAGACATTGACGAAACTTCAGACCTCTTCAGATCTCTTTAGATCGATTCAGATCTTCCATGATCTTCCGCACATTTTGCGAAAAACGTCAAGGGCAAGTTGTCATACACTTTGCCTGTCACTAAGTCAGTATCACTTTGGTTGATCTTTAGTGATGGAGCCTGCTGGATGTCATCTGATGTCACAGTTCATTGCAGGTGGTGAACACTAAAGCCATCTCTCTGCGCGAGCGGACCGTGCACAGTTTGAGGCCGTTCAGCACTTTTCGATACTTTTCGTTAAACACTGACTTTGCACATGTTGAGCAAAGGCACAGTTGCATCAAGTTTCCCGCATCAATTCCGTCGTACTATTGAGTTGATTGAGCACTACCAGTTTTTCATCACCTCGTCAATTATTTTAACATATAATATATATATATATATTAAACATATTTCAACTGGTTCCGTGCCTATTTCTTGAGATTCAACATGTTCATGTGGTCCCAGGCGTGAGATCGGTGTCATGAGGGAGTCTAGGACTGAGCCGATGGTCTTCCCACGGGATCCCACAGGCACGAGAAAACATACTGTGCAGTTGGTGTACGATGGTTTAAAATGTTTAATTACCATACCATGTGTACCTTAAAACATCTTAAAACCAGGTATTTGGAGGCATTTGGATGTATTTGGCATAGGCCCGATGCAAAAAACTGAGGCTTCACCATCCCTGCATCGTGAATTTGAAAGAGGCAGTTCAAGAGTGGGAGCGTCTTGGTGGCGCAGAGGATCTGACTGTTGAACACCAGCAAGAGGCATCTGTGGCAAAGATGATAGCGTCATTGCAAGCTAACTGAAGACGTTTGCGAGCCCATTCAACATGTCATCATCGTCAATCTGAATGTCTTGGCTCAGGAGGAAAGAGTAACACCCCAGGGCAATCCCTAAGTCTAAGATAGTCTAAGCATAATGTCGAGTGCCTCCATGGCAGAGTCTGACTGGGACCTTCTGGACGCAAGTGCTGCCAGTGACTGGGAACTCTTGTCCCACACTCGTTGGGCGGATGATGATGCCCGATCTGTGGCCACTGACACCACGGACATCACGGATGTCTCTGAGATCTCTAGCGCCACGTTGTGTACTTTACGTGGCTGGCCGGCCTTGGCACGTGCACATCGTGCACACCGTGCACATCGTGACTTGGACGAATCTCAGAGCTACAAAGATGCGTTGCTCCAAGGCGGTGGCGGCCTGGAGGGAGACAAGGCTTCGGAGATGGCCAAAGGCCCATCCCGACTGCCCGGTGTCTTTGTGAATGGCTACCGTAAAAAAACACGGCCACTTCCAGCCATTGATGAAGAAATGGATGCAGATGAAGAGTGGTGGCTGCGAAAGGGTCTAGGCTCTTTGTTAGCCAAACGTCGCTGGAAATTTGATCGTCGACCAGTCTTCTGCAATGAGGAGAGGCGCCAAGGCTTTGGAAGACAGCAACCAACCTGGGAGTATGAATTTGGCCAGTCAGCGGAAGGTTACTGTGCTCCAGAGGATGATGATGACGACCTATGACGACCTATGAAGAGCCAAGAGCTCGAAAAGTTAGAACCAGTGAGGCCCCTTGAAAGTCGCACAGTCCATCTGATGGAACAATCTTCAGGGGTGCCCAGTGGGCTCTTTCGGCTGGTCCAAATCTGTTTGCATTGCTAGGCTCGGGCGAATGAACCATGCAGCTAGGTTTCGCCTGTAATTCGCAGCAAGGTCCTGAGACGATGCTGCTGAAAACTCTTCCTTCGATTCGGCAGTGTGGCAATGTGGCGAGCGTGTAGCCATGTGTAGCCCTCACACAAGACCCAATGCTTCTGCGATGTACATAGTTTCAACACGTGCGATGAAAGGCAGAGCTGAGGTAAAAGAAATGCTGTACGTTGCTACGTTGCTGTTGCTTCAGTGAGACAAGTTCTTCATGATTTGGCCGCATTTGTCAACAGCACAATTGTAATGTCACCGATGCATACAGTGGCATACTCGTAGCCTACAGATTTTGTAATCGCATGTAATCGCATATGTATCTTAGTTAGCAGCCATGGTTTGGAAGACCTTGAAATGCAGGCATTTTGGGAAGGGGACCTGTGCTTTATCGTATGAGCCCCAGAGCTTGTTGACCCTTTGTTTCCGTTATGGCTTTACAACCAAAACGACCGGGTCATTGTGTAATTACTGCAACGCCCATTCTACACCGGCCATTCTGAACTATTTGCATACTCGACTAACGATCAAAAGGGTAAATCAATCGCCAAATTGTTTTTTGGGAAGCTGAGTTATGGTTTTGGATCTTTTGGATTGTCTGAATGCACATTGAGGTCATGGACCTCGCAAGAGGCGGACGTTGGAGTTTCATTTGCGGTCGATTCTCGAGATGATAAATGATTCATGATGATCCTGAACTGTCAAGTCGCAAACGACTTCTGGGAGTGTTACTCCCACACAAAGATCCTCTGAATCACTGTAGACCAGGCTCTCGTCACATGGCCGTGGCGAGTTCCAGCGTTTAACTTTCCCGCCCCGCTTTTCCCCTCAGAGCAGAGATCACAATATGATCACAATATGATCACATCAATGTTTTTCGAGATGTTTTTTTCGTTTTTCTTGTGTTCATCATGGTGTTCATCTATGTTCATCTGCAATTTTTCTCGCTTCAAGGCGGCGATTTGCATGGGAAGCTGGAGCCCGGTTTAGGTCTGGGACCAGAAATTTCTTCCAGGTGCAGCATCAGCTTTCGTTGTCATGTCGTCGGTTCAAAGTCGATTCTTACTGCTTCTCTGACCTTGACATTCATATCATTGACATCATTGACATCATTGATTTTCAACACTTTCGCACTGACATGAATGACATTAGTGGAACGGATGTGTTTTCGTTTGTGACTGTCATCCTGGCCAGGCACGTATCCAAGCATATACTCTCAGGAATTGCATATATGCATTCCCACAAGGCCCTCGACTTAGTGACGGCCAACTGTTGGCATCATGTTGGCCCTGGGCATCTGGGGCCTCCACCAGAGACTTTTCCTGACAGATCTGACAGGTAATTCATCGCGACCTCAAACCAGAGAATGTCTTGATCGTGCGCACGGGAAGCCCAGACATGCGCTGTGATGTTGGCGCACACTTGGTAAGTTTTTCCAACAAATCTTATCACATAGGATGAATGACATGAATATCAGCGAAGATTGGAGATCATCAATGAGGATATTGAATACTATTGAATTCACTGAAAAAAACATATGAAAATAATTGTAAATAACATTAAACAACTAATTAATAATATTGCTAATATCATAATCATTTCATAATTATAACTAATCATAACTCTTATCATTGTTTTTTTCGAACGTGATCGAACGTTTGAGGTTCATGGCTTGGACCGGAACCGCTGTGTGCAGAAATGTCTTGGACTGAGAATTCCACGTGGTTTTGATTCGCTGACGGCTGTATCTGTACTTGTACAACTTATAATTACTTATACGTATACGAAATAGTAATCTTCAGTACTTTATAGTATTTGTATAGCATGTTTGTTTAAAAAAATAGTATTTGTAGTACTCCCGTTGATGATAGATGGACAATGGACCAACACTGACTAAAATCGCAAAAGAAATCAACATATGTGTTGCACGGAGCGGCATGGACCGGCATGGACCTGGAGGCAGGAGTTTGGACCCGTGCGACGCGGGCATTGGGTTCAAAGTGCGTTGTTGGGTTTAAAAAAGAGCCATACAGAGCCTAGCCATGGCATGGAAAGGAGCTTTGGGTGGTGTGCTGTTACTCTATGGCTGTTTTAATGCGCACCTTGGCCGCCTTGGCCGTCTTGGCCTTGGCCTGACGGGAAAGACTTGCTGCATGGCAAAATGGGTGAACCTCTATACATTGTCACACAGGATGTGATCACATAGGAGTCCATAGGAGTGCTGGCAGTTGACACCATCATGAACCATCATGAACCATCATGAACCATCATGAACCATCATGAAGCCATAGTCAAAATGTCATGCAACTGAAGCTGGCCTACTGCCATATGCAAAACACTGCAACACATTCCAAAACCAGATCTATCAGAGGGACAATGCTCTCAATGTGAGTCCTGCCAGATGCAGTTGTATGCAGTGGTATTAAGTAAGGGATATATAGAGATGATCAGAGATGTTTCATGATGTTTCGATGTGTCAGGATAGAATCAGTTCTGACGATGATGACTCGTTCGTTGCGCCCATTTCGAGGTATCTCTTTGTGAAGTTCACCCCTGTCTACTCCGCCACATTCTGCGGGGATCAGACGGCTGAAGCTGGGCGAATAAAGCAAAAACATGAACCAAGCTTCGCCCAGCTTGACTAACAATGGGCCAACCATGTTTTCGGAGAGATGTTGAATGGATTTGAATGGGTTTGTCTCAAGATTGGGTATGAAACTGGGCCAAAGAGGTCCCAATTCTGAGACACACACACAAATATAATGTAGAACTATTTTTTCAAGCTGTAATTTCTGTAGCCAACCTTGTGGACGTTTATTCATGATTCACAACCAGAGAGGCCTAGAGTTCACCTGAATCAGCGATACATTGCTCCAGGAATTGAGGGACTTCGAGATGGGAGAGACGATCCATGTTTCCATCGCAATTCATGTGGTGTGTTCCAATCCAAACCCTTACGAGGCACGCCTGGAAACATTGGAAGAGACTGGAAACATTGGAAACGTGCCTGTGAATTCTTGCCAAACACACTTTCACAATCTTTCACAATCTTTCACAACATTAACAACTCTGTGTGGCAATTGGACGATGGACTACAGTGGCCTACGGCTAGAATGGTTTATAATGATCAGATAATGATCAGATAATGATCAGATAATGATCATTATGAATCATAATGGTTCTAAAAAGTTTTAAAAGGCTGAGATCAAGCCACACCGCCTCGATCCCTTGAGGTGAAGATTCTAAGCGACACCCCGGGCCATGTCTACGTTGGCGGAGACAGAGGCTGGTTCTGCAACATCTAACGACTGATCTGACCATATCTTGCTGACCTTCTTCCTCATTCCTCAGTATTCTTACATATTCTTAATATCTCTTACTAAGTCTTACAGTCTAACATGTTACCACGAAAAAGCTGTCGGGGTGCTGGATTCAGCTTTCATCAAATCTGTTCGTGCCTGTTTGCCATCAGTGGCAGATAGTGGCAGGAACAGACGTAGGTGTGCTGACTCTGGTGGAAGGACGCTTGGCTTGATTACTGGGACTTTACGACCTGGGTTGAAGGGAAATTAGGATATTAGTTGTTTCTTGCATCTCCATGGGAAACCTAATTTGACGTGAACAAGTACATCTTCATGCTTCCCAAGCCTTTTCTTTTAGTACTTTTCTGTTCCATTCTGTTCCTAGAAGTGGATTTCAATGGTGCCAAGGATCTGCGTTGCCTGCTGGTGGACAAGGTGTGATTTCTGTCCTTATGGATAGCCGGATCGCAAGAACGTCCTCAGGCCGAACCCGGAGACCACTGGGGACCGGGGACCACCTCAGAATTGGCCTGAGCCTCCCATCCTCCCGTCCTCCAGGCTCACTGGTTGAGAAGTTCTTGGGTGATGGAGAGATCCTTGGCGCCACTGTTGACTTTTGACAAATTTGTGATTCATTTTTTTTGTATTGTTCTGAATTACTTGCAGATTTCAAGGCGCCACTGCCAAGGCAACTTGTCCTGATTCATTTTCTGATTGTCCTTTGCTGGAGGATTCCTATTTACATGGAGCTGAAGTTCGACGTCGGTGTGAACATCGCGATTGGTTTGATACAGTTTCCTCCGATGTCTGCGTTGTTTGATAAGCGACCTGGCAGAGGATTGAATTTTCCAAACTCTTTCGACGCAGCTTTTTGATGTTTTTTGGAGAATGAAAGTGGGATGTGTGTCATGTGGCATGCAAAGGAAATGTGGGATGTACATCGGTGGCATGTTTGAACGCTCTGCCAACAAGTTGGGGCCGTTGATTTGTCGTGACACTTACGAGCAACTGGACCTGCCTCATCTGGGGGCTAGCGCAGGCTCTGCTGGGCTGTGTCGCATGCCAGTGATTCAATTCAGTTCCATTCGATTCATTACTTTTACATACTTTTACAGCCCTTGCTGTGCAAACAAATCGTGTGAAGGTGTGGTAAGGTTTGACGTCGTGACGCTCAGATGTAGGGTGAACATGGGTGAACTATGGTGAACTATGGTGAACTTCCCAAATTTGTCACAACATGTCACAGCATGTCACAACTGTTCGGAGTCTTGATGAGTCTTGCCATCTTGCGCCGTGGCATGCGGCCAGGCGGCATGACCTTCTCTGGCACTCATATGGATCCGGAAAGGATCCAACTGGGTGAAAAGATGAAGAATGTTTGCATCCTCGGTGCTGGATCATTGTCTTTCTTTTTTGGCTTCTTCTTGACGTACCTCGCATAGCTATGTATAGCTTTTGAATCTGGAATGGCAAGTGTTTTTGCACGAGGGTTAGAGGAAAGGACAGTGCAATTAATGTCTGAAGAATCTGAAGAAAATGAGGAAACCATGAACGATGCTGTACACCTCGCGAAACCCATGGCTTCAGGTGAGCTCTATGTCTCTAAGTAAGTTTTCTGCACAGCATGGCCTCTTGTTGCGTTTAAGTTGCTGATGTTATTTAATATTAATATTAATATCAGTAATAAATTGATATGAATTCTATTCATTGTATATTATGACTTGATGCTGAAGTCTCTGCGAGGTACTCATTTTGGCAGAACCCGTGGCAAAGCCTGTCCTTGCAACGGAGCACCAGCCGCAGCGTGTCCCGTGAGGGCTTGGCATTGCGTGCGACGTTGTCTGAACGTGCACGTGGATTGAGGAAGGGCATGTTGCATCGACTGGATTTGGATGGGATGGAGAGGCTGGAGCTGGATATGGCTGGATATGGGTGAATTCATGGGTGGGGAATTCAGGATGGAGTGGCTGAGTGGCTAAACTGAAACCGAGACTTGATGTATCTTGATGTCACTTGTGTCTTTATTTGCTCTTTGAAACACACTTCATGTAAACACACTTCATGTGCTGCTGCCTTCATCTTTGATTCGCCATCTCAGAAAGAGTCTTTGAGGTTGGAGGCCCCCAAACGACATCCAAGTTTCCCAACGGGCTCCCACAGCCTATGCTCAAACAGAGGGTGTGACTTGCTTTGGAAGATTTTGGAAGATTTTGCTCACGAAAATCGATCTAATTCGATCTACATCATTGGCCAGTGTCTTTTTTTTCCAGCCGCAGGGGACAGATTCTGGACATGCTCTCCTGTGGCATCTTCTCTCATTGGAGCAGAGCTGACTCAACACAGCCACATCTCGCACCCAGAAGTGTGTCACAAGTCAGCGAGGAATTGACAGGTTTACAGCCTGGCTGGTGGCGTAATATGCGCAGTGGCAATTGAGGTGCTTATAGGTTTCTGTGCTGGAATCGAAGAAGAACACTGAACACATAGGGCCATAGGGCCATAGGGTCTCACGGCATCAAAAGACAATATACTTAATTCACTGAGTCAGAAATTCATTAAATGATTCTTGAACCAGATTGCGAGCTTCACAATGACAACTCTCAACGTGAGGATCCGTGAGGGCTATGGGTAGAATGTGACCGACTCTTCAGCTGTATACTTTGACTCCGGACATTGAAATCTGGCCCATTCTCAAACATAGCACATCATAGCACTCCCCTGAGCATCCCCTTGAATTTTGGACATCGCATGACATCGCTACATTGCCGCCTTTCAGTAGCTTCGTGTCGATTCTGGTCCCGAAACGACCTCGTTTTGACGGCTCTCTGTACATTTGCGCAGGGTGGTTGTGCTCGTCGGTGTGTCCAAAGGGACGCAGAGAATTTCAACTGCGGGTGATATCTTCTGAACTGGTCACCTGATGATCCTGATGCCATCAATTCCAACATATTCCAAAGATTTCAGTAACAAAACTGTACGAAACCATATTGAAACCATTAAATGAGAACACCTGGCAGTTGTTCCTTCCAGTCGATGGGCCAATGCCATCGCCACACTGAACCACGCGTTGGTCGTGGAACATTTAGCTCAGGGTCCTTTTTTTTCCGCTGGGGGGATGCATCAACATTGATCAACATTGGGCCTTGTTCAAAAAGCGATGTGAACATCTTGGTTTGACCTACGAGCTGATCAGCTGATGTATCCAGCCCACATGGATCCAGACCTTTAGGACGCCCAAGAGAGGCCTTCACCCCAGGACGTACGCAGGTTTCCTGGGGCCTTTTGAAGAGTGGCGCACCCGACGCCGCCGGTTAAACCATTGGGTTGGGCGCTACAGAGAACATGACAAACGCTGCGACAGCTGAAATCTCTCCATGCCGAATTTGTAGTTTTGGTTTTGAGCAGAACTTGTAGGCCTTTACAATTTAGTACTACCCATGCGGGCCCAGCAAGCTGTAAAGTTAAGTCCCGCCCTGTGGATATTCTATGATATTCTTATGCTGAACTGACTGGCTGTGACTGGCTGTGACTGGCTGAGGCATGACGTAAAGATTGCGGACTTTGGATTGTCCAAATGCCTGAAGCGAGTCGGAGAACAGGACGCAGGCCATGCAGCTTCGGGCCTCGGAGGTTTATTTTGTGTCCTTTGAATTACATATCTTTATACACAAAATAATTGTCCTTTTATGCAAATGAATGAATAAACTGTAAACGGTAGATTAGTTTTACATGTTTTCACAATTTTTCCAGTTATCCAACAGATTCCAGCAGACAGTGACTGTAGATTCTGTAGACTCTGTACTGTAGATCTCTGTAGACTCTGTAGACTTGCAAAAAAGATCAATAAAGAATTGTTCACCAGGCATGACCGCCTGCGGGACGTTGGATTACTTGGCGCCTGAGGCATCTCCCGGGTCGACGGTCCATGGTGTCCTGTCTCGTGTCATCCCACAGCAACATGGGTCACCATGGGTCACCGCGGAATGGGTCACGACGGGGCGTTTCGCTTGTGAGTTGAAACGTCAGGTGTTGACTGGTCAATATGATGAGTGCCCCAGCATGTTTGGAGCGGAGAATCCTGACATATGCCAATGGGCCAAGACATGAGGGAAAAAACAGGTCACATGAAAACTGTCAGAGTCATTGAAAACTTGTGCAATTCATGAGCTTTGAACCATTGGGAAAAGTGCCATTGGGTGCTTTCGCACCTGCCAGGCGAATCGACTTTTGGAGTTTCGGAGTGCTCCTCTATGTCATGTACGCTGAGCTTCTGTTTGAGTCTAATGCTTCTATATGCTACCGGTCCTACGGTCCTATATTCCTGAAGACCTGCAAGTTGTGAGCATTCGATGAAAGTGGCATCGTTTTCTGTGCACTCGCCTCTCTTGACCGGAGAACATGTGTTCAATGTTTTTGTTGGTCGATTTCACCGGATTTCACCCGATTTCACCGGTTTTATCGAATTTTCACCTCACAATGTGGCGCCAGGCTTTGCGGGCGCTTGCCTTTTGAAATTGAAGGCGTTTCCAGCAGAGACTGATTCGGCATGATTCGGCATGATTCGGCAGAGGATGCAGAGCTCATTCCAGTGATCCAAAACATTCCAAAACAATCTGTGATGGTCGTTCCGCTCTGTTTCCTTTCGTAAACTTTCGCCAGTTTGTGAGTTGCTTGCAGCTGGGCAGCGTGAAGTCTATGGAAAGGCGTAGCGGACATCAAGCGGATTTCAAGAGAACGTTTGAGCCCGCAAGGTGTTCGCAACTCAGAAGTACCGGAGAAGTACAATGTATCAATGATGTATCTACATGTATCTATGTTATCTAATGATATTAGTATAATTGTTGATATAAGTTATATAAATTATATAAGTTATATAAGTGATATAGGTTATGTAAGTTATATAAGTTATGTAAGTTATATAAGTTATATAAGTTATATAAGTTATATAAGTTATATAACTTATATAACTTATATAAGGTATATAAGGTATATAAGTTATATAAGTTATATAAGGTATATAAGGTATATAAGTTATATAAGTTATATAAGTTATATAAGTTATATAAGTTATATAAGTTATATAAGTTATATAAGTTATAAGGTATATAAGTTATATAAGTTATATAAGTTATATAAATTATATAAGTTATATAAGTTATATAAGGTATATAAGTTATATAAGTTATATAAGTTATATAAGTTATATAAGGTATATAAGTTATATAAATTATATAAGTTATATAAGTTATATAAGTTATATAAGTATCAGAAAGCCGTTGAAGGCAATGACCCAGGTACCTCCAAACTCCGCGGCAGGGGTTGCAAATCTGAGGCCTGGCAACTCATATCTGAGGAGGCCAAGGATATGGTGCAGGGGCCCTCAGCCAGCGGAAAAGTGTCAGAAGATGAGAACATGATTTTGTTGTTTTTCCAATTCCGCTTAATTCTTCAAAGTTTGTATACCATACCTGGATACCTCCTTCATCCACCTATGTTCTTGAAAATGCAATGAAGACTTTGAAACGGCGTGGCAAAGTGTTAGCTTCACGGCTCCCGGATGCTCCCGGCAAGGCTGGAGATGTCAAATTACAGAGGGGATGCTGGATGAGGATTCAACATGATTCAAATGAATATAATTCATGTATTATATTCATATCATAGTTCCAAAATTTCTTGAATATTCCAAATATTCAAACCATCTTCAAACAATCTTCAAACCATTCACAAATTTCACTTTTTTGATCTGAGATATCCTGAGGCGAGGCCTGCTTTGCGTTGATCCTGCGGATCGCCTCAATGAGTCAGGCAGCGCGCAAAGCTGTGGACTCGTCAGGCTGTGCAGATTGTTCCACGGAAGACGATGGATTTATATTCGGAATATTCATGACTATTCGCTATATAGGCTATGATCATCTATGAGCTAATTGAACTTTAACTTGGGCTTTAATGTGGTTTTGTCATGTTGTCATGTTGTGTTGAAGTTTTATGAGGCTTTTGCGACTTTAGTGGTCTAGGTCACCTCAAATTTCAGGCTGCCTTCGACATCCATGGATCGAAGAAAAGGACCGGCCGCGCCAAACGGCGATCCTGACAGAGTCATGGGGCCAAAATGGGGCAGTGTTGTCAAGGGATGTCAAGGGTTTCAGTATGTTTCAGTAATGACAAAATTAGTATCAGTATGTATCAGTATATGTCAACTTCCAACAATGTCAAACATGTTTATTCAAATTTTCTTCAACGTGTTCAATTTTTTCAGTGTCGCTCTACCAAGAGAAGCCAGGCATGACATAATCCTGCGCCACACAGGACAGCAACCATGAGAAGGTGGTGCATTGTTGGGGGGTTCGCACCACTTTTGCTTCTGCCAGAACGCAATGGTTCGCTTTCTTTCAGATGTTGATATATATATATACACACGTATATGTAATATAAGGTATATATCACTATATATAATATATGTATATGTATATACATTCATCTACGTTTAAGCAATCATGTAGCTGCAGGTGTTATTCTATTCCACTGCAGCAACATATTTCTGTTAAGCAGGGCACCGTTTCGTTTGGTTTTTTCTAATATGTTCCAGGCCAAAGCTGAATTTGCGCTGAATGTCAGAACCACACAAAAAGCGCACACAAAGAATAGGTATATGATGAAAGTATGATTCAGGATGACCGAGGATGACTATTGATGACTACGTGACTACGTGATTCGAATATATAAAGATCATGGCTGGAGCACGGCTTGGTCGCCGTCACGCGTATCTCGTCCAAGCATCCCAGCTGTCGACAGGTGACAGGCTCGTCAGACACAGACATCTCGCCAACTACTGCTCGGAGAAATGGTGGCTATGGACGAAAGAAGATGGAGGTGGGACAAGCTCAGAGTGCCAAGCTTGTGGAATAGCGGCGAATAGCAAGTTCATCAGCGAAGGGTTCCACCATGTCGCACCATGTTGCACCTCTCAGCTAGAGAATGTGTTCAATTATCTTCAATACAAATTAAGAGTGAATGTCTTAGAGGTTCCTTGTGGGTGAAATGTTCTGCCACATGTTGCAAGCATCCCAGAATTGGGCTGGCCATGTTGGGCTCTGTCAAACCAGCTTCCCCGATGACAGGGATGTGACACATTGACGCTATTTGGGGCAGCTCGCAATGCATTGAAATGTCTACAAAAATGCATCGGTGGGTGATTTGTACCTTTTTGCATCACCATTTTGTGCGTTTTGTGTATCCGTTGAGAATTCTTGGACAAGTCCAACATATCATTTTGTCCAAAGCGGTCCCACGTCCAAGCTCAGGACGAACCAAGCGTTACGTATTGGCATGGCCCCCTGAAGGCCGCAGAGTTTGCAGCACTGCAGTGATGTTTCCAGCATCCCAACAATAAGCAGCATAAGCATAGGCTAGCAGCATAGGCAGCATAGGTCTAGATCGTGAGTTTCCCGTCGGCCGTCTCCTGTTTCATAATGTTCATCCGTGGCATTCGGTATCAGGCAGTGTTGGATGTTTCTATTACGGCTCGTTTTTGAACATATGTGACATAGGACTAGAAATGACTAGAAGAGGTCAGGGAAATCACAGAAAAATACCGCCGTCAGGGTGCTGTGAAACAGATCTCTGGCTCGGCCTGCACCTTAGGCGGAAGGATCTAGGGATGGGTCAATATGAGATACAAACATGGCATCCTATGGCATCGACTTTGGACAATAAACATCTAATTTGCGCAGCATTGTACCAGGTATTTGCAAGTTGTTTGGAGGTTCACCAGTGTACCATCAGTGTACCAGGGCTTTGATCCATAGCCCGCATAGCCTGAGGTTGGAAACGCAGTCGACTGCGTGGAGATGCAGTATTTGTCTTAGACGGAGAGTTTGGCGCGTGACTGTGCGTGACTATACATGGCTTCATGTTGCTTCATGTTGCTTCAAGCTTGATTTGTTTCAGATGTTAGCCGTTTACAGCGTCTCCAGCATGTCACAGGCTCAGAACTGGAAAAAAGCACTTCTATGGCACCCAAGGCAGGGCTTCCGGATTGAGCTGCCGCATGTCACGACCGAGGAATCTGTAGATATCTATAGTCGATTCCCTTGACCGATCTTGACCGTCTATTCGTTTGTAGCTTTTTGTGGGCCTTACAGCGAATCCCTGACTGTGAAGAGTTTGAAGAGCGCATGCTGAAGTTGCATATCAGCAACAATGGCTCCTCTGCAAGTATACCTTGAATATGCTTGGCACATCGTAGAGAGGAACCGGACATTACATTGTCATCATCACTCCGAACACCAGAGGTATGGATCGGCAGATGGTTCGAGTCTCTCTGGCCAGGTGGCTTTCAACACAAAAGCTGGCGCTTGCACCACGACGAGGTGATTTTGGCTGTAGCGCAAGAGGAGCGCGACTCGCCCGGTTCTGAAGGATCTAGCGATGTACATCTGCATCCATTGGTCTTGCATTACGTGTATCCACTGGCCCTCGGATTGAAGCAACCAATTATTGGTTGCTTCACTCACAGCATCTCACAGCACCTTCACTGCCGTTCCGGCCACAAGAGCCTAGGTTTGTCGGGAACAGTGTGGTGTTCTACACCTCAGAGTGCCGATCTCGGAGTTCGAGCGCCACTTTGTTATACTTTGCTTCTCTGTCCCCAGTGGTGAATCAGATCAGCTTCCGGAATTTGATGATTTTGATGTCATGTCATTGTTATGTCATTGTTATGTTATGCTTGTCATGGTCATTCTCAGCGTCACACGATATGTCCATCTTCCCATATCTTCCCATATCTTCCCATATCTTCCCATATCTTCCCATATCTTCTGGCGTCCAGGTGTCAGATTATTGCCCTCCAAGGGCATGATGCGACCAACCGAACGAGGTTGATTGCGTTTGGGCCCAGGAGGTGATGATGAGATCTGAGTTACACATTGGAGAATGGATTTGTCAAAGACGCAACATTTCGTAAACAGTACACATATGTACACATAATATATCATATTATGATATGATATATATTATATATATATATACTATAATATGTGAATCATATGTATGCAACAACAACACAATATCATGTTGACTCATGTTGACATCATGTTCACATTTTTCATGGCCGATCTGAGGCCCATTGGGAGTCAAATCTCAGGCTTGCAATTTGAAGGAAGCCAACTCACTGGAATTTACCTGGAGCGTGTGCCCTTTGACGGCAGCCACTCGGCAGAAAAAAAACAGGTCGATATAGATGGATTGAAATCGACAGTTTCTTCGAGAAAAAAGGAAGCATTTGGAAGCACTTTACAATCTTTACAATTGTGTTTTGACTCAGGTCCTATGGCTGTGTCATCAATCATTGGACACGTAGGTGGGATCCATGTAGAGGTTCATTTTGAGAATTTGAGATGTCAATGCATCGAATATGTAGTTCAGAAGACTGAGCCATACTGAGCCATTGCTCGAGTTCAGAGTTGCTTTTCTGCTTGCACATATGAATGACTTGCACAGGATCTGCTGTAGACAAGCTGGTTCTACGGCCGTTGCTCCCAATTGGGTAATGGGGCTCTGAAGCAGGGAGGACAGCTTCTAAATCTCTCCAATATTACGATATATAGCAATGTGTGGAGCCTTCGATTTCGCATATGCTCATGTGATGCATGTGATTCGTGATGTGTTGCTCACTTCAACAATGAGTTAAGGGAGTGTTCTGTTGCTGCGTTTCCACGATTTTCCACGTCCTGAGAAGAGCTTTCAGATACTTTCAGGGTTTTCATTGTTTTCATGCCCTTCACATGGCCCCGAACCTGAGGCTTCGTGATGGCTCAACGCGGCGATATGGATTTGAAGGAGGCATCAACTCCCATATGAAACGTGCAAAACTTGCACATAGCTTCAGAAGGAGTTTGAATTCTCTGAGGTATTCTGAGATATAGATTCATATAGACGATATAGATGATATATGATGATACATAGTCAGATATTCTGAGGCATAGATGGATTTGTCCAACTTATCATATCCAACATAGTGTAAGTTTTTTTTAAAAAAAAGACTTTATGTATTATGACTAGAATGATTATTATTTAAATGAGTTACATTATATTTCTATGTTATTTACGTGTTTCCACATGGCTCCAGCGACGCTCCAGGCTACCAATGCGGTCCCTACAATTTGGACGATGATGAGCAGGGACCTTGGAGAGCCTTTAGGGGGCAAACGAGCCAAAGGTCTCACTTGCGACTCGGAAAACCGCTCACTGATGAGGAGGATGATGATGATGATGATGATGATTTTGGAGTCACAAGCGAGCAGAATTTGGAGTCACAAGCGAGACATTGGCTTTCGAGGGCCATACCTGAAGTGTACCACAAGTTGAGGGGATTTCTATCACATTATGGAATTATTATATATTACTATTTGGATTTCGTTGATTTCCTGGACAGCTGCTCACTTTGGATTTTACTAGTGCATTTCTTCGCTAAGATACATCCTCTTGGTGGAGCAGGCAAGAGCTGCACAACTTGATGTCAGCACTTCTATATGTCACGAAAGGTAGCGTCAGCTACCTGAGTTCTCCGTGCTTCAGCACAAGCATAGGGGGTATTGGGGGGCCAGCCCGGGCCAAACGTGGAATTCTAGCCGTTATGTATTAGATATCAATTATAAGGTCATGGGTTCAATTCCCGCGGGTGACGCGGTCACGGTCCGCCACAGTAGAGGCACACTCTCCATGAGGGAGATGTCCCTGTAGTTCAGCATAATTAGTTTGCTTCAGCCTCAATAACAGCTGCTGCAAGGGGTCTTAAAAAGGGGTTTTAAATAAACCCCTTTTTGTGCATCATTTCACGCTGCACAAGACACCGTATCATGCAGTCATGCTCTGGATAAAATCATCTTAGACTGCGCAAAAACGTTTTTGGTGTATCATCTTAGGGGCGCAGCATTTTGACACCGCTCCTCTCCCACTACACTACCTTTCGTCCGCCTCCGCCTGCTCTCAAGTTCTATGCACTTCTGATTGTCACCTCTCTTCGTCCTATAAAGTCTGCAAGGCAAACTGAGCATAAACTCTTGCTTGAACAAACAAACTTATCAAACTTGAGATCTTGTTTGTTCATTCAATTGTTCAATTGTCAGGATCGTCGAGATGCATACCTGGGAAATTCCATCGCCTTCGTGACTTCCAAAGGCACTGCCGTGGTGAAACGATCGCAGTTACGGCATGCTACTACTGTAAAAAAGCTAAGAGATGTTGCGAGTAGATCTTGATTGCAGAAGCTATCTCTCTGAAGGTGTTCTCATAGTGGTTTTATTAACATTTATGTGGCTTCATTGACTCTATTCCAATCATGGAAGGTTCCTGAAAGGCCTGAAAGGAGTGACTCCAGTCCTTGAACAATGACCCAATCATCCCAATCTGCAAAAAGAGCTCAGGCAAAATCTGGGAATTCAGAGGAATGCAGGCGGGAGAAAAGGGAATGGTCAAAGAAGTTACTTGTTGAGTCACATATCGAAACCAAGGGGTTTGAGATGCTTTGAGCACCATCTGAACAACTGAAAAAGTGTGTGCAAGAATCATGATAGCTAATTGAATTATATTGAATTCACAGATTCCATTGGTTTGATGTGTTTGATGTGCCATTGTCGGAAAGCGTTTTTTGCAGCTTCCCATTTGCGGCTGAAACTTGTCTCAACACAGCTTTGGCAAAATAGCATAGCTTGTGCGAAGTGTTACTATTGTCCAGTCACCAACAGAATTGTCCACGGGGACATCACATTACTTGTTTCAGTCGCTCAACAAATCTCAACAAGATTGGGGTAAGGCATCACGATCCCGTCGGTTTGCTGGAAGCCTCAGTGGAAGATGGGCATGGGCTGACATGGACTGACGTGTTTCGTCTGGGTGTCGGTTTCCAGATGTTGCCACAAAGTTGACCTTGGACAGTCCTGCAATACATGACAGAAGCACGTTGCAATGCTTTGATGAGCTGGTCAGAGGCGCCAGGTCTAGGGCAAAAGGCTTAGTAATTGATACCTTTTTTGACTGTTCCTATATTAATATATATGAATGGATATGTATGGTTGAATATTTGTGGAATATTTGTGGATGCTTTCTGGTGGAACCTGTTTACTCCTCTTGTCGATGGCACTGTTTCACTGTTTCACAGGTGGCACCTCCGGATCGACAGATTTGTGGTCTGAAGCTCATCGGAAATCAGTCCATGGAAACCATATGGAAGCCATATGGAAGCCATATGGAAGCCATATGGACATGTTTCACAAATATGGACAGCAACTGAGGTTTGGGCTTCAACGGGAGTCACTTGTCAGTGGCTGGGATCTCAGAGTGCCTTCCTTCGCCACAGATAAAACGATTCGAAAGCTGGGAGGCAGGCTTTCGGGATTTTCGGGATGGCGACAGAATATGGAAATTATGAATGGAGCAGTCCTGGAACAAGAACGGCAAACTGGCTACAGGTGACCACCTGCCCATTGCAGCCTGATGGAGCCTTGCATGGAGGCCTGCAAGACCATGTCTTGGAAAGCTGAAACACGTGGCACCGTGGCGCTCCCCAGTCATCCCTTGTCCTTGTCATCCCAAGACATTTCCAGCTGAATGACGCTTTAGCCTTGTGATCCTTGTGCAACCCTCAAACTATCCTCAAACTAGCAGTAACTATCAGTAACTAGCATGCCCAAACATAGATATGCTCACAATATGTTCACCATTGTTTGGGATGGGCCTTCTGTCCACTTTCAAAACCATTGCACTCAGTCAGCCCACATTTTGAGTTTCGGCTATTTTGACAATCGCCAATCATTTCTCCAGATTTATGCCATTCATTCCCATACTCCAAATGACACCCTTTGTATTGCAATCAAAACAGAGTTTTGAGCCTTAATTAGACATCATTTGAAATGAATTTGCAGATCCTTTTTCCCAATGCCAGTGCGCGTCTTTTAGCGTTTCCAACATTTAATGATTTCAACGGACCAACTCAATTCGGCTGTACGGTCAGCAACGAAGACGGCTTGCAAGAGTTATGTCCAGCAGGTGGCCACGCTGTGGACACATGACACGGTATGCTGTGGCGTATGTTGAAGTGTGCCGTCTCTGCTGACAGTCGTCCAATACAAGCCCCTCATCGGACCCGTTTCAAGACGCTTTCCACAGCTGTAGACAGTTGGAATGGCCGACTCATGATCATTATGTTTTGCATCCTGAAACATTCAACTTTGGCCAAGAATTCTAGACAAGGATGAGATTTGTTCATAGGTATGATTCCTATACTTCAGGAACTTCAGGTATTGATTCTATTCATTCCTGTTGTTTTTTTCGAACATTTGGAGCTGCAAAGATGACCTGGTCAGAGAAGCTGCCGAAGGACAGAATTTGACTCCGCAGCTCTCACCGGGAAACAGTTCAAACACATCTGTGGAACGCCAGTTCGAGATGCGCTAAAACGCTGTAGTTAGAAATGCTGCTGACAACGCAATATTGTCAATGCAATATCTGAGACATGACAGTCATATCTGTTGACTTTGAAGACTTCGGATTGCCGGAACAGAGTCAACAATAGTACCAAGATCTCAAAGTAATGGAATGCCCCAGTGGCCTTGTCAATCAATTGGACATTTCAGCTGGTCTTTGCAGCTGTTTCGCCGTGTTTCGCCACTTAGAACAGTCGCCATTGCAAAAGGGGCGGCATGGCCTAAGACTCAGACAGGGTGGCCTTTTTAAACATTTTACCTTTTTTTCTCTTTGAAGTTTCTCCTTGATTGAATGATTTGATCCTTGCGCATCATGTGTTTCTGTTGTCCCATTCCCTTTCCGAAAGCATCTCCTCTCTTTCCTCCCTTTGTTTCGCTCTGCTGTTTCTCCCGTTGGGATCTTTTCCCGGGAAGCACCTGCAAGACATTCGGTGCTGCACAGGTACCTGCAGTAGGAGGGTCTGGAAGCTCAGCCGGATTTGAGCTCTGCTGAAAGGGATGTGACACCGATTTTACAGATGGACGACATTACGACATGAGCAAACATCTACAACCATCTACAACACAATACTCACAGCAAACACCGCGCTTGTCTCTCAGGCCCTATGTGTGGGCGTTTGTGATCTTCTCCTCCGTGTACAACTCAGTTGCCACAAAAGCTGCCAACATGCATTGGCTGTAAGTAGACGACTGCAGATTTTTTTCTGTTTTGAGTGGCAGGTGACGTTATGTCCGGTATGTGGATGTATTTGGATCACTTGTGGATGCAGCATGATGCAGCACATGGCATGAGAGTGCAATGCAGTGCAAGAGAGTGCAAGGTGCTTCACTTCTTTGAACAATATTTGGAGTATCGACAGCTCCAGAAGCCTCTCAGATCAAAATTCGTCGCTGCAAACATGTATGAAGATCTGAGATCATGTATGCTGGCACTGCCAATTTTCCAAGTGCTAAGTCATTCAAGTTGCGCCAGGGTGGACCCGCCCTAGGAGTCACCACATGTAGTGGAGTCGTTGTTGCAATTTTCCGAGTACCCAAGAGCCAAGGAATAGAGAATCTGCTGTGCCGGAGGAATTTCAAGGCCGCAGTCAAAGAGTGCTTGTGTAGAATCTAAACATTTGGCTGACTTCTGGTCAAGTTCACCTGCTGGTATCAGAACAAACCCAATGTGCATGTTTGGGATCCTGAAGTGCTCACTTTTGAAGTTCTGAAGATTTCACAGAACAGACTTTCAAATACTTTCAATCTTTTCCTTAGACGTAATTAGATTGAAATCTCGAATTGCATGAAATTGATGACGTTGAAGTTTGGAAACACACAGTGTTAAAGAAAACATAAGAAAACTCATGGCCCCATGCCCCATGGCCCATCGACATCGAGCCAGGCATCGTAGATGAAGCCAAGTTCCTGGAATCTCAGGCCTGACAGGACCTGAAAGTCTCAACAGAGAAGTCGACTGCAAGTGTTGCTTTCTACAGGATACGGTTTTTAGCGATTGTGAACTATGATCATATTACAACTTATAACAATGACATGATATAACCTGTCCCCACAGTTGCATAATATAGGTACTCTTACTGTACATATTTTTTATGCAGAGCTGCATGTGCTAATGCGTCCGACTACATTCGCAAATGTCTGCGAAATAGGACTATCTTATCTGAAGATATTGGGAGTGTAAGTGAGGTGAATTACTTTGCTATACAGCGGATACAGGTCTTCACTTGTGATGTTCACAGGTGCCCAGACAGGAAGCCGTTCAATTTGCACTCTGTATCCCTGAGGCGTACCAGAAGGACAAGCGACTCTTTGGGTTTGTCAAAGATTGGGTGAGTTTCATTTTTGACAAGGTGCAGTTGGTGCAGGAATCCCTGGCGCGTGGGCACATTTGGGCACTTGGGAGGGCTCCAACAGTTTCTTTACGTTCTAGACTTCCCATAATGTCTTCCAGTGCGACCTCAAGGCACTCCATCGAAGATTGAGCGCTGTCGTCACTTACCAGGTGCAACTGTTTCTCATCACACCTTGGCTTTGGCATTATGCAGCCCCAGACTCAGCTCTGGTACAAATCTGCACTGCTGAATGACTACACCAATGTGTTCATATGTGTTCTAGTGACATCTACTTCTGCATTTTTGCAGTGGAATACTGTACAATATACGAAGTGTATGCAGATTGTGTTGGCGTTTTTGGCCTAAACTTGATGGCATGATATGGCATGTTTGCATTGAGGTCAGCGTTTTTGGAGAGGAGGCACGCACATCATGACAACTGAACTGAGTACTGAGTGGCAATGTTTATCATAATATACTTATAGCCATCTTATAGCGAGCATTGCTTGGGACAAGCCTTTTTCTCATCCTTTTTTAGGTGACTCATTGTGAGCCATTCCTTTTGTTGTGACTTCAGCAGCAACCAAAGTGATTGAATGATTGCCTCCCAACCCTCGCAGTATGGCTATAAGTGCATGGGTGTTCCAGGGTTCCATGAGTGTGCCATGAGTGTGTCATGAGTGTGTCATGAGTGTGTCATGAGGCAGAGTACAGCTGCACCCTCTTTTTCCTCTTCCTCCTGCAGTGGGTGCTCTCCCAAGAAGAACTCGTTCGACTAGTTATGTCAGTTCTGTCATAGTCACTTGTCATTTCAGAGATTCACCATCCAGCCTGACGGCAGCCGCTGATTGCATGCCACATCATGCCACGCTTCATGGGATATGATGGAATATGATGGAATCATTGATACCAAATGATGCCAATGCCTGATAATGCCTGCAGGTGGAAAAGCCAATTAGCATTCCGTTCTCACTCTATTCCAATTTTGTGGTGGAGGACACTCGATGATCTCGAATCTCGATGATCTCGATGATCTCGATGTCACACGACTCGGCGAGACCATTCGATTCACTCCAGGAGAAGCACGGCTTCAACAAGATGACAGCAGCTCGTCAGCTTGGAATCGTCGAATCGTCAGCATTTTGCGGAGCTGATTTCAGCGGAAATCACTGATTGGACTTTGGTACCATTCTTCGATTCAGAATTCCAACAGCTCACGCCTTCCTTGTTTGGCTGAAGTGCGAAGCCTTGGAAGCCTTCAATCATAAACATCGCAATTTCAGGGCCTATTTCACAGCTTTGAGCGGTTGCGACCCCAAGCATCCCTTGCCCATGTCCGTCACGGCCAGTGACGAGACGGTCATGGCATGTCATGGCTGTATGTTCAGGTAAAGCTGTTCGTCACAGATCTCATTAAGAGCGAGATTTTGTTGGATCCTCAGGATGTACACAGACTAACTCTGTGACGTCATGAGAGAAATGTTTAGTAAGCATGCTCGCAAGTGCTTGGCAGGATCTGACTTCAGGGTAGCACACTTCCACAGATCTTTGTGAAATATATTGAAACATTTGAAACTAATCACAGTCGTTGCAATGACCTTGATCAACGGTCTAATGATTGACTCCAATTGAAACAGGCCATCAAGGTATGACAAGAGTGCCCAGCACTGTGGCATTCCCAGGACGTATGTCTTCGGTGGTTTGCTGGTGTCAGGGGCCAAAGATAAAGATGGAGCGAGAGATGGGAGCGGCACCATTTGAGACCTGGCAGTCGCAGATCTAGAATTTGTTGCACTTTGTCGCAATTTGTTGCAAATTGTGGCAAGGTGCAACTAGGGGTGCAAACAGGGGTGGTTGTCGGTGCTTGAAGTTGCAACGGTTGTTTCTGCGTCCAGGCCAATGTTGATTTGGATTGTGCGCTACTTTGGGGCAGGCTGTGACACTGTCAGTGTGGAATCTAGCACACCGCTTCACAAATGGACCCAGATATAGAGAAATTGGCTAGCTATTTGACTGACCGCACTGACCGCCGTTGGCGTTTCTTGCAGCGGCAATAGGAGACATCATCCAGAACGACAAAAATGTTTGTGTTTATTATGGGTTTTGGATATGTACCTTCCCACTTTCACGACTCGTTCATCGTTTTTCTGATTCTTTAACTCAAAAGGGTATCCATGTTGCACTGCGTGTGGTGTTGTCAATCAACATGGTCACTAACTTATTAAGAAGATCTTGCAACGAGATCAACAAGTTTGACACCCCATTTCCACACCGCAATACTGTTGCCGTACATCAATCATGATTGAAATGATCGAACACTTCTCAAGCTTTTCCTTCAGTTTTAAAATGCCCCACATTGCAATCTACCTGCAGGTTTCTACTTGTACCTCTGGGGATTTGTTCAGTGTTTGATGCCGGACACTCAGGGAGCTGCTGTAACTTGGCGACGTGGGCCAATGCTTCACTTCTACTACAGGTACTTTGTTTTCACCGACACTAAACTGTGAGTCACCCTATCCTATACAGGTCTACGCGGATGTGTACATGGCATGCCAACGACGCGGATAATGTCGATAAATGTCGCCCGATGCAGGTTCTTTTTCTCGCGACCCATCAATAAGAACCAAATGCAGGTTTGCAGAATCGCGCATGCACAAAAGTGATGCAACAATATGAAACAATGAAACAATATGAAACAAGGTGATCAATGATCAGTGATGAAACATGTAATTATCCCTGGTTTTCCATTGACCGAGGATGGCTTTTATGTGGATCTATCCGAATCTCATCCAGCCCCTCTTCAACGAGTTCAAGACGCTGCAGGTGGATGCTGTGGGATGCCATGGGCAACCCATCAGTGCCATCACTGTGCCGTTGATGTTTCGGTTGATTTGTCGCTTTGATATATGGCTTTCATATGGGTTTTCACACGGGTTTGGCCGTGCCACCTCGGTCTCAGGATTTGGAGCTCAAAGAAAAGATCGAGGCTTTGGCTGCAGAGGCCGGATCATGCCGGATCCTTGTGTCGCCGTCGCCGATGAAGGGCATAGCCATTATATCTGCAAGTGGTGCAAGGGCGAGGAATGTCCAAGGACTGGTGCCTAGCCTCAATTCGATGGAGAAAGATTATCGCCAACGTCTTATTCTTTGCTTAGTCGTGCTCCCCTTTTGGGTCTCCATAGGCATGGTGGTATTAACAGATACTAATGGTATGCTTCCTGGAACCAACAATTTTCGGTAATTACAACATGTGCCACGTGTAAATTTCCCGAAACGGTGTCTCTTTCTCTCCTGACCAGGTGAGCTTTCCGTTGACGAAACTCTTTCAGATCGACGGGTCCAAGAGATCTGGGTATCTTGACACGGTAGGATGGTTGGAATTGCTGTCCAGCCTCCAACAAGTAAACTTAACCAAATTTTAAATGATCAACGTTTCCAACTGTGGAATTCTGAGGATGTCTGGGGAAGAAGGGCATAACATGTGAAAGTCTTGTCATACCCACAGCCAGCTTTTGTCAACAGATGTCCAGCATTGTTTGCACTCGAGGCACAGCAACGCATACTTCTTTGGCTTTTGGAAGTGCGCTGGGTAGACTGCGGTAGACTAGTCGAATGTTGTTTCAGACAAGGTGTACTGAGCTGTACCCTGTCCAAACATGTCCAAACACTTTGTCATGACATCAAGCCATCAAGCCTTTGTTGAGCTTCAGTGGGCTCGAGAACTGTGACTGTCGACCTGTCATTTTCTCAGTTTAGACAGTAATTATCGACAGTTTAACGACATCGTTGTCGTTGTGGTTGACTACCATGATGTTGTCATCGTGCCTTCATCCTCGAAGTTTAGGGATGGCCAACTTGCATTCTTTTCCCAGGTACAAGAGAATCGTGCTCTACGACACATTGTCCAAGCCTGAGCCAGATGCGCTGTCAAAAGTGTGCCAATAGATTAGGTTCTGAAGGTTCGCCAAGCTCGCTTGAAGTGGTGGAAAATATGTAGATTGAAAGTTGGAAACTTGAACAAACGCAATTGCACAATTTGCCCTTGATGGGTCAATTCGACACACCCACGAAGACATAAGCGTATTCCGACCATGTGTAGCTGACAGGCTGCACTTGAAGCACGATGACATCCTAGCCATCCTTTGTCATGAATTAGGCCACACTTTGCATCCCACTGCAGTCGCATCATGTCACATCATGTCACATCAGTTGAATCCTGCAGTCGACTGGATACTTTTTATATCTTTTTATGCAATGTTTGAGAGATGTAAGAGCAACATACCGCACCAAGTTGTTGCAAGCTGTGCACTGCAGGCACTTATCAAGATGCATTGCATTCAATTGCATTCAGAACAGCATTCTTACGGAGCACTTCCAAGAGGATGATAAAATACAATAAAATCATATAAAATCTGTCGTGGACACTTTCCATATCTTTCCATGGAAGGTCATTGGAAATTTGGCCACACACTGATGAATCTGGTGATTGCCTCTGTTTCCAACTCAGCGACTCAGTGTCCAACACCACCTCCGTCACGTTGCGAAATGGCCCTGGCCTCACATCGGATCCAAATGGTCCAAGGCTCACACCTTCGTTCTTTTCTGGTTGTTCGACCTGGTGATGTACTCAGAGGCGGATCTCTATCGGATCTGAATATGATATGTATGGTTTTAATGAGATTCTAACGAAAAACATGAATCGAAGATAATCGAAGTTTAACTTCTGAAATCAAAGGTCAATACTGAGGGAATCTTAAGATATCTTAAGCACTGTGATGCACTGTGTGACTTCCGATGACACAGCCTGACCATGGGACATTCGACAGGTGTCCAGCCAGATGGTGAAGCAGTTTGGTTATGGTGAGACAAATGCTGTCATGGTCAGGAGCACAGAACTGGTCATTCCGTGGCTGCCACATGCTGCCATGCAACAGCTGCTGTCAGCTGATGGTTTCAACATGTTTCAACTGGCTGTGCACTCCAACTTTAGCCATCTTTAAACCTGCTGTTTGAGGTTTCCTTGATGCTGTTCATGCTGTTTTGCCGGCGGATTGCGGCATGCTGGGGGGGAATGACAAAGCATCAAAGCGTCGTCAACCTTTATCGCCAAGTGGTGCCAATCTCCAAGTTGAACCCTTTGGGCCCAAAAAAGAACATGAAATCAGAAGTTGTTCGCAGTCAAGAGAACGAGTAAAGCATGTAAATGACTTTGGATATTTTTCCTGAATCCATTCCCAACCTGCTGGGGGTCGTGTAAGTAATGAACAATTCAGAGTTAAAATCAACTCGATTCTCTTCGTTTGCAATTCTTCCCCACATTCAGCCAGGTTGGTGAGTCCAACCGAGCAGTTGCTTAGTCTGTTGATGACCATGTTGCTTGGCTGATGGAACGAGGTGTCAAACAAACCGAATCACTTGGAAAGGTGAGGGCACACGTTGGTTCAACTTTGAGTCTTTGGACTTTCTGTTCAGGTGCCTTCCTTTTGGATCCTTTTGGTAGATGTTTTTCATGGTTGCGTGAAGCATGTGAAGCAAGGCTTAGCCGCCGGAACGAATTCCAAGTATGCAAGCTCAGGGGTCGTTTTGATCTTGGGATGTCTTGTTGCTTATATTTCACTTATGTTTGCTGTTGAAAGTTGAAAGATTTTCCAGAGCTGTCGCACTGCTTGTTGACTCGCAGTTGAAAGAGTCTTCCTGTAAATTCCAACCATTCCGAGACCATTCCGAGACGTAAATGTTGACAGATGTTGGCAGATGTTGACAGATGTTGAAAGTGTTTATCATCTATCATGAGGCAGATAGCTTCGCGGCGAAGATGGGAAAATCCGATGGTTTGCAGTCAGCGCCCTCAACGTGGGTTGTTCGGGGTATCTTGTAATGTAACGCCTCTGCTCCTACCGTTGGAAAGTGTGAAATTGCTGCAACACATGGCACGAGTGGCACGAGCTACTCCATACTGAGGAGTGGTTTATTTCAGATACACGAAGAGAACAAGGCCAAACTGATGTCAGTCCATTGTTGAGGATGGCACTATGCACCAATGTTCTACTATGTTCTACTAGAACAGAAGTTTCTTTCAGACAATAGTTTCACAAGAAGGACCACGGAGAGCCACGCATCTACTAGTGATTCAAGTGGGAAGTACTAGTACCAAGATTATGACATATTATGACTATCTTATCTATGAATGAAGTTCCCTTTTTTGCCTGTTGCGATTTGATCAACGGGTTGCTTTCTGATTTGACACCCTCAGGGCGATCTGAACCCAGATCCGCTGTATTCCTGGTACCACTTCTCGCATCCCCCATTGGTGTTGTTCTCAGCACTGGAATGCCGTGACGATGTGCTGATTCTGTTCTATTCTGAAAAAAATATTATGTTGCTGTTCGATTGCTGTTCGTTTTTGCATACTGTGCAGCTGCATCATTCTGCATCATTCTGCATCATTCTGCATCATTCTGCATCAAGTCAATTCCTTGCGCATCTTGTGTTGATTGTGTTGACATGTTGACACATGTGGCATTTGGAGGTCGAGCGGCTTCGTGCCCTGAAGGCCATCGAAGCGGAATCGGCAAAGAAGGTCTCGTAGGGAAATGGACCCGATGGACCCGATGGACCAAAAGATGCTGCCCCAAGTGGTGTCAGAATCTGTCACAAACTTTGCCGCGGCCCAAAAAATCGTTGCAGTCGTTGGACCATGTTGGACCATGTTGGACCGAGCCCCAAGGACCACGCCCTGCACGCCCTGCACGCTGCTCTGTTGATCTTTGCTTCTCAGTGTCACACTGTCACTGCACGCAGATATCACGGACATGTGAGGCATGACAGAGCTTCAATTCCCGATCTGCAAACCCTTGGCTGTTGTGTCTGTTGTCTGGCTCAGATCTACATGAGTCACAGGTAATGGTCATCAACTCACATAGTCACTATTAAAATTTATATATGTTTATCATGTTTTAATCAATCTTTACTATGGTGCAGCAATTAAAAATCGATCCAGTTCCTCAAGGTCACGGGCGAAAATTATTTTGGAAATAGCACAAACTTAAGGACAACCGAGATCAACCGAGTTAAATTTGAAGAAAAAAATCTGTGGTTGGATTGACCGCAGATCCCAAAGTTCATCACATGTCCTTTGCATGGCGCCACTGCAGTTTCGTGCCTCTTCATGGGGTCCTTCGCTCAACTTCACGGTGTCATGGTGTCATGGTGTCATCATGCTCAATTCGGCTGTGACACCAAGGGATTCCAAGGGTCTTTTCTGGACAGCAATGCGTTGAAAGCATGGAAACTCTTGCAAGTGTTTAGTAGAGCATGTCATGTCCAAATATTGCCATTTCTACTGTGTTATTTGATTTCATTTGTAATTTGGACATATTTCGACATTGTGTGAGATTCAGTGAGGCCTGAGAAACAGGAGTTGAAGGCACGTGGCATCATGGTTTGCGAAGTATGCAAGCGCCCCTCCTGTTTGCAACATCTATGGTATTCTCAGAGATACGTTTGTCATTTTCCTGGCAACATTGGCCATGGCCATCCATGGCCGGTGCCTTGAGATCCTTAAGTTGTTCAAGCCTTTCTAAACCTGGCAATAGCAATTAAGAATAATTAAGATGTTTAACTGGTTGGTGGTTTGGAACATGAATTTTATTTTTCCATATATTGGGAATGTCATCATCCCAACTGACGAACTCATATTTTTCAGAGGGGTAAGTTAACCACCAACCAGTTAATATGGCAAGATATGGGGGTGGAGCCGGATGGAGCATCCGTTGTAGGCGTCATCCCTTCTCCAGGCCCAGGAGGTCCCTGAAGCCAGCCCTCGTCGCAGCGAGGAAGGCGAAGTCAAAATCGAGGGGAGTTGGGAAATGTAGTGAGATGTGAGACGAGATGTGAGGGATAGTGTGGATTTCTGTGTAAATGTCTGACACATCATGATTGTCAGATATTGTCAGATATTGTCAGTGTCAGTATATTCCTTCAATTTCCAACAGGTGCGGTAGAGCCCGCTGTGATGTCCGGAGAGTCCAGTGCCCAGAATCTGCAGGCACCAGATCTGATTTTGACTGGTTCACCACGGATTGAGATAAACATATGTAATTAAACATATGATATGATATAATGAAATATAATATTATATATATAATATATATATACACATTGTTTTATACATAGCTGCACCTGATAAACCCAGGGATGCGCAAGAAGAGCCTGCTGCTGGCCTTGAGCCTAGATAGCTGACCTGCACAATTTTGCACCAACGGAATTCGTGGTTTCTTTTCAGCCAACGTCACACGTTTGGAATTGGGATCAGAATATGTTCCAAATAGGAACCTTTCACACTGCATGCCGGCAGTTGTACTGGGGCATCTGAATTTCTATGCAATTTGCCTCACAGTTACCTTGTTTCCAGAAAAGTACCTCAAAATAACAGATGCTATGACTGGTATGAGTTTAGAAAGTTTAGATTGCCTGGAGTATCCTGGACGCAAAGGTAGTCCTGTCAAGGAAAGCGTAGCTGGCGTAGCTGTCGTAGCTGACCCAGTTTGAACCTGAGTCACCTCTGACCTCGGCAAGCGGCTTGGTCAGGGTGAGCCCTTCACTGGGGACGAACGGATTTTGCCAAGCTCAAATCACAAGAGATGCATCCCTGGGACTTTTTTGTTGAGATCCTATGGGAATCATGAATTGATATGAATTGTTTCATGTTGCTTTAGCTTTTCATAAAATGTTTGATCTGGTTGATCTGTTTGATCTGCAGGCAGAGCCCAGTCTCCAAAGTGAGGCAGCAGGCCCCGGTCCAAAATGGTCCAAATGCAACGCATCCTTGGCTCCTTCGCTTCTCAACGTGGATCCAACGTGGATCCATGTAGGCCCTGCTGCTGAAGCTGCTGAAGCTGCTGAAGCCAAAGGCGACGCTGAGAAGCTGGGAGACCCGATGCAGAGTGACTGAGCTTTCTGACATATGACGAATCCGCAAACGGCTGTGACTAATCCGCACTTCCGACGAATTCAGAGTGATGGGTTTGTGATTGCTTGAGGCTGCAGGACCAGGACGTTGGCAATTTTGGCATATTTTGGCAAGCCAACATTCTGCCGACAATGTTCCCACCGTTGAACAAACAGTCAGCTTGTTGTGTCATGCCTTAGGCCTGCAACGGATGAGAAGGGCCAATGCCTAAGACTGTTTGTTTTGGTTTGAAATCTGTGCGAACAGAGGTCTAAAGCGTTCCAAAGCATTCCAAAGCGGTATTGCTACATATTGCTACAGTTCCTTCCACTAAAATTGGCTGTTGCTTCAAGCTTTGGCAGCGTTGAAAGGTGCTGAAGCTCTTTCACCGGTACAAAACGGTGCAAAGAGGACTGCCATTATCAGCTATGGTGTGGGTATGTGTGGGGGGCATTCATGAAAAGTTCAGTGGATAAAACGTGACCTTTTTGGAATCCGTGCTTTGGAATTTTCGCAGTGCAGTTGGTCCCAACATGTTCCACACAACGACTTGAGGAGTCCGACCAGGAGTCCGAGCGGGAGTCCAGCCAGTGGTCCAAAGGGCCATAGCCCCAACACCCTTTGCACTGGTCCGGGATCCCCGCACCTGTGGAGTTTTGCAATTTTTAGACAAAGACTGTAAACTTTATAGACAATTGTTGGATATTGTTGGTACGTTTTGGCACGCCGCGTTTTTGTTGTATCATGTATCATGTAGAAGCTTGGACTGAGGACAGGCAGAAACTCCCAGCCTTCAATTCGTCATGGCCCTGGTGACCGTGGCTTCGGCATTGGGAAATGCCATCGGTCAGCTGTGAAATCCCAAAAGCATTTTGCCAGTCATTGATGCGAAGCAAATGTTTTGGGTGCTATAAGAAGTACAGTTTATGTAGAGTTTATGATCATTATGATCGATGTATGTGTGTAGTCTATGTTTTTTTTCAGCCATCCTTTGGATCCGCGTGTGGGAAATATGCCTGAACATGTTTGAGGGTATGCCTAAAATGATGGGCCATATCATTGCACAGTACACCAGTACACGTAATATTGACATGTGCATGGACATATGGACATGCTCTCCACCCTAAAAAGTATGGGAAATGATCAATATAATATATATATATCATATATTATATTCAACATATTTCAACATCTTTCAACATCGAACCATCGAAGGTTCTGCGAGTTAAACGTTTCGAGGCCACCCCAGCTCCTCCTGCAGCCCAACATGACTCTCCGGTGAGTCCTCTTCGCAACTCTCCTGTCAGTTGGGCTTCCTGGAGGTTTCTGGACGTTTCCTGGTGAGTCACGAACCACGAAGCTATGGCATCGCGATTCCGACATACTTGGGTAGAATTTCGGAATCCTGAAGTGGTTCTTATAGTTTCTGCTTTGAGTTTCTTTGGTCAATCGTGAGGTATCACTAAACAATACTAAACACCAGGTATCACCAGGTCAACATATCAATGCGGGGGCCAGCTTTGATTCCATTGACCCAGGCCAGCAACTGGAGGCACTTCTGAACGCACGGGGTGGAGGGATCATGTAGCACAGATTGGACCCTGGCAGATCAGAGGTTGAATCAAACTTGGAAATTTGATAAATGGATTGAGTTCATTGAGGTTTTTTACGTTACTTGATCACTTGATAGTTGGTAATCATGGAGACGCATCCACGACGCATCCAATTCAGAATTTCTGCTACCAAAATAAATCATTGGGACGGAAGCAGACTGTGTGTTTCGATTCCTGGAAAGAAAGTCAACAGAAAGGTGGCGAAGGACAAGAATTTGATGAGAAAATACCCGAAAGATCAGAATCCAAAGTTGAAAAGTCGAAAGGTTGATACAGATGATACAGTTGATACCTTTGCATTACCGTGCACATGGAAAGCGTTGTAGAGTGTTGTTATATATATATTATATTAATTTATATTATATATATATATATTTATAGGGTATGTGCATGATGCTGGATGCATATTGGTGTATTTGATGCCGCAGTGCCAGGCCTCCCCAAAGGCCGCAGAGTTGGCCAGTTTCGCGCCACCCATCACGGAGAAACAGCAACTGCCGCTTTTGCCCAGTTGGAATGCCCAGTGTGGGCGTGGAGTGTTGAGAGAGTTGAGTGTCGAAATGAAAAAACATGGGATAATTATATGAATTTTATGGATCAATTCTGCATAATTCATGATAATTCATGATAATTCTACTTTGGGGATGAAGAGTTTCGCATAGTTCGACTTTAAAAAGTGTGAAAGCTTCGCATCTAGTACTGTTTCCAAGGTTCACCACCGCTTGCGGCAAGCTCGGGTCTTAACGTGCTGGTTTCCCGGATTGCCGCACATGGACTTCAGGAGATGGCAAACATTGTACCTGAAAGAGGCTGTTTGTCCATTTCCCACCAGCGCCGCATGATTTGCCCACCGCAACGCAACTTTGGCTTCAGATATCTTCAGATCATTGTTGACATTTCAGGATAGATTTTTGCAAACCAATTCAGTCAGTGTTTGCTCTTTCCCCACACGGTATTTCTCACATTAGACAGCGACAGCACATTGTAAAGCACCATGATGCCGGAGTCTCAGACGATTGCACAGCACAAGACGATTTCGAGGAAAGCTCGGTCTTGGACCGGAAAACAACGAGAAGTGGGAAGAACATGGAAGAACGATAGAAATTGTGATCCATCTAGAGCTTTCGACAAAATTACGAACTCTTTCGTTTCCTGAAAAAAGAATCAAGCTACCTTCTCGATCTTCCTTCAGTCAGGAGTTGCGTGAGAATACTCGCGGCACTAGGGCTATTTCCTTCAGCTTCCAAATACAGTATGCATCCGTATGCAATCATCAAATATCATCAAGAATTCTGCACTTTTTCGTGGCTCACCGGCTCGCCAGTGTTTTCGTAGAGATTCCAACAGGTCTCCTGAAAGTCCAGAAGGTGAAGATGGAGAGTTTGGCGGATTGGAATACGGTGAAGGCTTGGTAAGGAAATTGTAAGGAAAATGTCGGAGCTGTAGGATTTGCTGTTGTGCCATGTTGTGCTATGTTGCGGCATGCTCTTGGTTTATGATTTGGAGTAGTTTGAGGTGTGCTTCAGTCATTTTGGCAATGTTACACGGGAACAGCAGTGTCTCCTCACTAGACAGCTGGTGCACATTATTGCATATTCTAGGTACAGTACCCTTTCAAGAAACATTTTATGCCCGCATCTTTTAAGTGGGTGATTCTGCTTTGACGGTTTTTCCCGTTTGATCCCTTCGTTTTGGAGGTGCACACATTGAACATTACGTCATATTTAATATACATATTAATATAATACTCATATAATATACATACAATATACATATTGTATATAATATATACATATAATATGCATATAATAGGAATTTTGTGTTTGCCGGATTTTGGTCATGTCCAGGTGGTGTTCCGGGCGACCGTGGGGTTGGAGCAGAACATGAAGATGATGAAGGCTGGCGACGTGGCAGAAATCACAAAGAGACTATGTTCGAATTCGAAGATCAAGATCTTTTTATGATAGAATTAACATGATTAATGATATATAATGATATATAATGATATATAATGATATATATATATACACACGATAACTGATTTATTATGACAATTATGGGAGCTTTCAAGATCCCTACTGAGTAACTCCTACTATATATAATGCGTTTCCGACCTGGGAACCTGCCACAAATTAGGAGAGGACGAGCCAAAGCAGCTCGACCTGGATGACACGGAAGCGCTCAGACAGCATGCTGCTGGATATGGAGGAGGTGCCGGTGATGGTAACATTCGGCGACTTCGTGACTTCTCAGAACTCTTTCAGACTGTTCTACCAGATTCTTTCACTCAAACGCCCAAGTGGATCAACATGGATTAACTCTGGAGGGAAAGCATGAAGCAATTTTTGTGTGACACATTCCCGAGCTTCATGAAATTTCATGAAGCTACATGTCGTACCATGTTGGTACGTGCCTTTGGCACTTCGTGCTGAGAGGCACCCTTTGAATTTTGTTCTGGGATTTAGCTGAAAATTCCACCGCCGCAGGCGAACTTAATGATGACTTGAACCTGGCGAATGATCTGAGCAACAGCGATTTCGTGTCGCCATCTGATTCAAAGGACTGTGAATTGCCAGACTTGAAAATGGAAGTACGTCATGAATGTTCAGCTAGGTCAAGAGTGACAGATTCTGACAGATAGTCAAAGCATGGTCAAAGCCATGTCCCAAAGTGGTGGTTTTCGCAGTCTCAGAGAGGCCACCAGACTGTGTTGCTGGCCAAATCCCGCAGGAGTTCACTGTGAAGTTACAGAAGCTGCCTGGAATGAGGTGCTCACGGGTTGGTTAGCCGTGCGGTGGAAAGTTCAGTCGCTGTTGGGCGAAGTAAAATGGAAGGAATATGAAGGAATGTGTACAGAATGCTGAATCCGTTCAGACTTTACGAGACTTTGATTTCGATGATTTTCGATCTGATTTTGGGCAAAGGAATTGGCAGAAGTGATGGCAACGGTTACAGGTTGGGCGTGGAATGTGTCCAATTTGTGCGAAACCCAGCTGGGGGAAGGTTGACCCTTCGACATCCTTCGACTCTTCGACCCTTTCCTTTTTCCATACAGTTTCATCACTTTCCACAGATCAGAGACGTTTAGAACGCGTTCTATGTTTTAATTCAATGCTCAGAAATGCTCAGAAATGCTCAGAAAACCACAATGGTTTGTCACATGTCTTGTGAAAGACGGAAATCATAGTGGCCAGAACCATTGCTGAGAAGCTATTTGGAGGCATTGGATGTGGCATAGAATGAGCTAAACGAAGCCGTGCCTAGCAACGACACTCATAGTTTGTATATGTTTGACTTTATGTTCGAATATATGTCTAAGACAAAGACATGTTTAAATCAACAGGGTGTACAACAGGGAGATTTCTGATGATTTCTGCACAAGGCGGACGAATTGGTGGTGCAGGCCATCTCAGAAGGCCTGGGAATGGTCCATCCAGACGTTTGTCGATGTCGGAGCTGATCAGCTCCAAGCTGTCAGGTATGGTTGCAGAGGAATGGAACCAGAAGAATCCCTTTCTGGCGATCAAGGTGCAAGTTCAATCAAGTTCACATGTTCATCACATGTTCACATTGCATTCAAACTATATTCGAAGTACAAATGTGAACTACATGTTGAATCAACACATTGTAAGCCATCACATTGTAAAACTTATATCCACTGCTTATAACATGCTTACACTAGTTACATGTGAAGGGTTGGTGTCGTGGCCGTGGCATGACCTGCTCTGAAGCTTCAGGAGGGCGACGTGATTCGCCAGGTCAACAGCATTCGCGGCGACTCGACGAGTTACGGCAGTTACGGGCAGTGGTTCGGCAAACACATCACGTCCTGTAGCACATTGTAGCATAGCAATGCAGCTGTAGCACATAATTGTCACATCATTGTCATAATCATAATATATCATAATATATAATTATCACATACTGTAGCACTGTAGTAGCACTGTAGTAGCACTGTAGCGTGCTGTAGCACTGTCAACTGTGCACACCATGTACTTTGAAGAAACGACGGATTGAATGGTTTGTTTTACAACATATGTTTTTCATTGTTTTTCTTTGCATATATCCATTGAATAAATTTGAATATACATATCTGATGTGTGAGGGGTGATCATGGATACCGAGGTGATCCCATGAAGATGTTGAGCAAGCTGCGGCAGGGGAGCTCAACTACCACCAATGACACCCAATGACTTCATGAATCCGTGAAGCACATGCGGCTCCTTCGAAAGGTATATGTTTCGGTATGATGAATGATATTGAATGACATTGAAGGATTCAATCTGTTTCAAAGATGTTTCAAAGATGTTGCATGATGCGTGGCCATTTTAGGGGTTCTCAAATGTGGAATATCCCTGGTGATCTCAGGTCTGGATTGGTCTTAACCGTCAAGGCTGAGCACTGCTCCCGGCAAGTGCCCAGAGAGGCCAGGGCATTGCAGGTGACGTGAAGAGAAAAATGGGGATGGGTCAAAACCCTGGTACCTAGTGAACCCCAAAATAGCTGGTAAATGGATGTTCATCCCATTAAAAATGGTATTAATAGGTATTGATCCATACCCAAATAGGAAAAACATCCAGAATTGTCCAATCTTTGGAACTGGCATTGGCATCGCTTCAATGTGACATAGTTTTCCCCCATTTTTCCATCGCAAGTGACAGAAGGGGCCTCAACATGGACCGGCCCCGGGCCAAAGGAAGAGAACCATTTTCAGTCCTGAGCTCAGCGAGCACAACTGGGCTGTAGCAGGCCCATATGAAACTCCCCATCTCCGTGTGTAATTTGAAACGATTTCTGGAAGATGTTCAAACATGTTCAAACAACTGAAACGGCTTTCATCAAATTTCAATGAGCCTCTAAGGACGATAAAACGGACCGGTGGGGCTTTGCTGCGCTTCCATCAACGAATGGAAATGGAGGCAGTTATCAAAGACGTGAGGTTGTTTTATTTCTTAAAATCTAAGAAAACAAAATTTCTAATCCTAATCTATCAAGAAATCTATCAATATATCCATCAACTTTTTAGCAAAGTTTTCCCCCAAAAATGAGAGAATGTTGGAATATGTTGGAATGTTCCAGGCACAGATCATGGACCAGGCCTTTGCCATGGCTGCCATTTCAAGGAGAGAATTGCGTGGCGTCACACGTGGCGTAACACGTGGCGTAACACGTGTCGGACGCGTCGTGATGGCAATCAAAATGTTTCATGTTCTGTTTCAAAATGTCTCCGTTTCAAGAAACACATGTTTATATTGTCTATTTCGTATTTGGTTTCAAAGGTTTTGAAAAAAGGTTTTGTTCTTTTGGTTACAGCCATTACAGACTTTGAGCCACGCAGGAGACACGAACGGCAGGATCTGGATGCCAAGGTTTGGGAGGCAACGAAGGATGGCTCTGATCATTCTGATCATCTCGATGACTCGAAGGATGAGATCCCAACATATCCCAACTCAGTAACTCACCAAGTTTCAATTTGGGACATGGAATAATATGGAATCGTTGAACCATGTTGAAGCCATTTGTAGAAATTATTGGCTTATGATGGTTATGTTTGGTGCTTGGAGATGCTTGGAGACCTCCAGAATGTCAAATGTATGTGTGGCACATGCTCAACAGAGCTGCTGGTTGTCCCAAGTCATTACCGTATTTGCAGATGTGCAAGCGCCACAAAGAATTCATGTGAAAGTTGGACCAAGAACCAACATGACCTAACCACACCCTCACTAGGGTCACTAGGACTAAAAGTGTGCAGAGTTTCAGCCTTTCGTGACAGCCCTATGGTCTGGAGGCAGCATCTGCCTGGAATCTGGAAAGTTTCATGTTCTTTGAGGCGTCGCAAGATCTGAGTTGGTTGATGTTGGCCGCTCTACTTGTGTCTGCACAGAAAAACCCTTCAGACAGTGTAACCAGAAAGGAAATGCATTGGAAAGTGTGCCCCAATTCCAGAGACTTCAAAACATAAAAATGCCTTGGTCATCTTGGTCCAGCCCTGGAGGGATTTCTTATGTAGATCAATGTCAAAGTTGAAATGCAATCAGAAGTTTTCAGCTATCCTTTGCTCGTAACATCTCGCAACTGATCTTGATTAATTCATTGATAATTCTTGATATATGTTAATTATCCTGTTTATTGCTCTTCAGCACGGAGTCGCCCTTCGCTACCAACATGCTCCACAGCAATGTACCGTGCAAGGAAGTGCCCTTCCTCGCGGCCTTCGGCTACACTGCCAAGTTGCTCGTCGCAAATATCGATGGAATGTCATCATTCTGCTCTTGTTTCCCAGACTTTGCGGGTTTTATTTTGAGAGAAATCATTCTCGAAGACTTCGAAGTCACAAAGTGGATTGGAAGCAGCTCAGTCCTTCATATAGTTCCACTGTGTTCCACTCTACTCTTCGTATTCTCAGGGACAAGTTGAACTGGGACCAGGCAAGAGGCTCAGGATACGATCAGCATTCAGATCTCTGTTCTTGTTTACATGTTTTCACAGAGGGGCCAAAGCTGCATAGCAATCGATACAAGCGTGAACTCGCATGCAAAGACAGGAAAACTATGGAAAACTTGACCAGTTTGATCCAGTTTGTCTTTTTGCTACAAAGGCTTTGTCAGAGAAAATGTCGATGTTGCAGTGTGTGTCCGTCGAATGATGGCCGTTCTGACCCCGTGTGTCGTCAACAGAGTTGGTGCCGAGGGGAAGGTGATCCCCAAGCTGACCATGGATTTGGACGAGCATTTTGAACAGGCAGTTTCAATCAGTTTTAATCAGTTTTAATCAGTTTCAATCAGTTTCAATCAGTTTCATAGTTTTCACTTCCAACCATTGTAACCATTGGCTTTTGGTGCTTTCGTTTGTCTCAAATCTTTACACATTCTTTATACTCCTCTGTTCACTGTGTGGCTGACAGGCGGGATGCACTTGGTACGTCATCAAGTGACTCGCAGATGAACAGAGTCGATTTCCTGTTAGTTTTCTGGTACTGTCAAGTCTCACAAGTCAGATCAAGTCAGAATGAAAACTGCCATGTTTTCTGGGTGGAATAATGCTGTTTGGCACAAGAACTGTTGACAACACTAGTTGTTTGATTTGTTGTGCCAGCAGTCCAAGTGTCAAAAAGGCCACAGTCGTGAGATGGTCAGAGTTTGTGCATCTCAGGTGTAAATTGGAAGTGCCTGTGGATGATGGGAAGGCCTGAAGATGCTCGAAGATTTGTTTGCCATTTGATGTTGCTGTGACATTTGGAACTTTATCATACTTTATCGTTTATCGAGCGATTGTCTACCTGTGTATTTGAGATGCCTTGCAGCTCGTTGATCGAGCGATTGTCTACAAGGTCGAGACCATGACATGGGAGGTGCCCTGTCCTTGAGGGATTTTTGCAGTTTCGAGAATCCCACTCTTTTGCACTGTGTTGATGTTTATTTTGGGATGTTTCTTCTCTTGGCAAAGATATGGGTTTGGTCATGTTTGGCTTATGAGAAAGTTGACGACGTTTCACGATGTCCGCAAATCTGAAGGATCCCTCCAATGCACTGTTTGACACAGGCACCGCGAAGGCTGCACCATTTACGTATGGAGTTGCACGATCGCATGAAGTACTACATGGAGGTGAAACGAAGCACAAATCATGTACCATGTCCATGTCATGCCATTTCTGACGCAATCGCACAATGAAGAGAATGTGCTGAGAATGTGCTGAGAATGTGCTGAGAATGTGGAAGTGCAGGCCAGAACTTGTGCATTGTGCTTCGTGAACTCTGCGCAGGAGAAGTTTTATGCGCGCGTCTTTGGTGAAACTCCCTTTGCCAGGCCAGATATGATCCAATTTTTGAGTGATGTGACAGTGATGTGTTCACATGTTTTCACTTTTCACAGGCAAGTTTCAGACTTGGCCAAGCTGCAGCATTGTAACAACTGATCCCAGAGGCATACGGCTCCGCGGGGCACAACGGTGGCTTGGTGTTGAATGGGGTTTGGACTTGTGCACGGGCATCCAAGTTTTTCCAATCAAGCGACTCGCTGACGCGGAATCCACGTTTGCATTAGAGCTAATTGTGATGTTCTGGTGGCTTGGGAGTATCACACCTGCGGGAACATGGCAGACACGATTGGTCGTCATCCTCATCATCGTATCCCAAGACATTTCCCCCATCAAAAGTCCCAATTGGCCCCCGGTGTGCTAAGGCCAGACTGAAGGCATGGTTGGCAACCCTAGCTTCCGCCATCAATAAACAAGAGGTGGGGCCTGCACAGGTTGGTAAAAATCGAGCAGCATTGAGTCATTTGGCATTTTAGAAACTTCATTCTTTTGATTTTAGATTATGATTAGATTCTTCAGATGCGTCACTAATTGTTCAAACGTAGTTTGGGAGAGTGGGCGTTTGTCTTGCAGCTTGTATTTTGTTTGGGACGTGCACCAAAGGGCTGGAGGAAGAAATGCTTATCCCCACATTTCTTAAAATGTTGGTGCTGTTCAGGATTTCTTCATTTGAATTTCCTTTCTGTATCTTTCTGTAATATCCTGTGATGTAGTCGTTTTGAAGTGTCAGAGATCATGGAGATCATGGACCGCCGTTGTGATTTCAGGTGCCTCCCATGGCTGCAGCCATCACTCTGCTGTTCCTACACGCGCCTGTGTCGGCGACCCAGGTCTCTCTCAACTTGGACAGATACTCTCAACTTATCTCAGCTTATCTCTCTGCGATGGTTCATTGTATGATTTTGTAATGTTAGGGTCAATTGGTTGAATTAAGTTGAATTAAGTTGAATTAAGTTGAATTAAGTTGAATTAAGTTGAATTAGGTTGAATTCCTGTAGCAAAAAACCAACGAGATTTTAGGCAATTTCCTGTTGAACGCTTGGGGGTTATGTGGCCATCTCATGTTGCAAGTTCACCTCAGGCCTTCGGATGGGGAGAGTCCAAAAGCCGAAGCTCCTGCGGTGTACCTGGCCTCAACATGCCTCAACCGAAATGTCCATTGAAAATTCTTGAAATGTACACTGAATGTGTTGGAAATGTGTTGGAAATGTGTCCACTGAAATTGATCTTAGCCTCATGGAAGGGGCTTGGAATGCAATGGTTTGTGTATGAATGTGTGCTTGCAGGTTATGTATCAATAAAGTTCCTGAAGTTTCCAACCTGAACAGGGTGACATACGGTGACATATGGTGACATATGGTGACTATGGGGCAGTCAATTTACAGAACGTTCTGTTCTGAGCACTGAGGAATCCACCTCGCCCGAGTCAGATTCTGGCCATTTGATATCACTAATACCTGTCGCTGACTTTGTCTTCGAAGCAAATCTGTTGCCTAATCTGCTTCAATTGTATTTCAATTGTATGAAGGAAAGAGAGAGAGAGAGAGAGACATGAACTGCCACCTGGTGTTCCAAGTGTCTTACACCGTCGGATGCCCATGGAAGACAGCAGTTCTCTGGGGGAGATTTAAGTCATGCCGATTCAAAAGCTCTGTGCTTTCTTAGCTGTTCCATTTCAACAAACATATTTCAAAATAAGCAAAGATAAGCAAAGTAAAAACGATCCATTTATCCAGAAGTGTGTCCCTCAGCGTGTGTTTGAAATTGGAATCAGTATGATATCTATGCGAGTGTGAATCTCTGGACCATGTTTGACTTTGAACAAGCGACATAGTCCGAGAATGTCTGAGATACATCATGAATCATCATGATAGATCCTTTGAAGACAAAGTCAGCACTCATGACTTAGTTCCTTCACCCCTCAAAGGGGAACAGAATGCTGAAATGTATTCTCCAGTCGAAGGATACATTGACATGCGCCTGAACTCAGCAGCACTGTGCCTCCATTACCTCAAAGCGGCCACAACTGATGAACAGATGAACATTGACATGAAATTCAATGACATTGAATGGTGTTAAATGATGTTCAAATGTTGAATGATTTCAATTACACGTTACTGTTCCTAGAACGATTAGAACGGCACTGTGACATTCCACCAGATTGGGCAAAGCCCAAGCTCGGTGAGATGCTCCTGAAAGCCGCCGGGTGACCTCGTTGGTCAGCGACACATCGTGCCATCGTCACGTGCAACACATCAGTACCATGCCATAAAGTGCCATAAAGTGCCATTGCCATGTGGGTATGGATCAATACCTATGAAAATACCATTTTTAGTGGGATGAACATCCATTTACCAGCTATTTTGATGTTCACCAGGGGTACAAGGTTTTGACACACTGCCATGTCGATTTTTACCCAACTCGACCATCTCACCAAGGTCCGGCTATGTCACCACAGGGATTGGCTCCCAGCACCGCTCCACCGGAATTCTTATTGAATTTGAGTGGGTTTCAATATGGTTCGATTTGGTTCAATGTGGTTTCCATGGATAGTCTATCAAATATACTAATGACGAAACCACATGCCCAACCAAGGGCAAACGAACGGGCACCTTTTCTGCTCCTGAGCCAAGGGTCCCTGGCGATTGACCAACCTGTCAAGGCAGTGCACTCATGGCAATGTCCCAAATTGACACTGGTTATAATCTTCCAAAGTTAAAATTCGGAGATATCCATCTCTTCTCCAGTATGTTGGGGCACATATTCTGTTGCTCATCCATCGATCAGCAGTCGGGGGCGATCAGTGCCGGGAATGAACGGCGAGGAGCTGCCAGCGGATGCATATCCCTTGCTGGTCACTCGCTCATGTTCCACCAAATACTCAGCAAGATCTTTCAGCAGTCCTGTGGCAGTCTTGACGCGACGTGTGCACCACAGCTTGTACTGCAAGCACTCTGGATTCTGACTGTTGGCCAAGTGCAAGTAGCTCATGTTCTTGCCTTCGTATTTGCCGAACTGGATTCGTGTACGTCCCCACGTGGCGAAATCTGGGACACCCTCAGGAAGAGCTTTGACATTGATGCCTCGTACCATCTCATGCTGGGCCTCATAGAACTTCTCGATCTTGCCCTTCCGATTGACCAAACTAGTACCCATATTGCCTGGCAGGAAAGGTTGTTGGAGATCAGCGAGCTCTTCAGTGGCCCTGCGTTTCGATGCATCAGTCATCCCTTCGGAAGATCCGGAAACCAAAGTGAAATCAGAGCTTGGAGGACCGCTATGTATGGTCATGGCCAGTTGGTCCCACATGCCACACTCCTTTGCTTTGGAGATCATCTCTTGAAAGGCAGCGGTATCACTCTGAGTCCAAGACATGCTATGAAATGGTAAAAACACGGAGGCTCTATGTCAGCGAGGGCAAAAATCCTTGATGGTCACCGGTTGGTGACGTGCAACAGCTCTCACATCATGCTGGTGAAAAAGGTTGGTTGCCGAACGAAAAACAAAAACCAGGGTTGAAACAAATTATCGTGAAAACATTCTCCCAAGACATGCTTGCACGAGTGACAAAACTGATTCGTCATGCAGCAAAGGTGATATCATAGCTGACTCTGTGCACAAAACGTCAGCTTTCATATTCACTTTTCCAAAAACTTGAAAGCTTTTTCTTTGCAAAAACTGGTGATTGGCTGCAACAACAGTTCACTTCGAAGGAGTGGCCGCAAAGACAGGACAAACGTTTAATGCCGGTGACTGAGAGGTATCTGGATTGCTTGCAATCTAACCCTACCTATTTTCGTTTACAGTCATGCACAAACAACCCACCAAGATCCTTGACCCTATGCCAATCACTTTCGGTGACTGTGGACAAAAACTTCAAAACTTTGCCTCAGGGACTCTTGAGTCACGAGTGTTGGTTCGTTCCGATTGTCGCGCTTTTCTCAGCTCTCTCTCCGCAGCCTGGCGAGCAAGTACTGCTGTCTCCGGTGCAATTTGATAGACTCCACTGCGAACACAACTTCCCAGTAAGTCGGCTGGGTCCAACTTATCCTTGGTGAGTCCATCCGCTAACATGCGATCAGTGGGTAACCATCGAATGCTGCCTTGTAGAGTACTCAAGGATTCTCGGATTATGACCACATCGATACTTGTGCGCCTATCATCAATGGCAGTGTGTGACGAGGGGCTCACCAAATGATCATACAGTGACTTGCAATCTGTGGCCAGCAGCGGTCGTCGACGTGACAACACTGATCTGACCTGTCGCAAAGGAGTTGGACCATCCAGAGCCTCACTCACAAGGAGAGACAGCCACTCTACTGTGCCACTTGCTACACTCATGGCTTGGCTTTCACCTGCCAGAGTAGAGCTGACAGCTCGAGCTAAACGATAACTCTTCCACACTACTGGAACCCAAAGTGCTTCCTTGCCGTCGTGAAGGTCGGAATGGGTGAACGCAATCACATATCCTGCTTGAGTGTGAGTTCCTACATTTGCCCAAGCTGCATCACTATGACAACATATTGTTAGTTTATCAGGGGCTATGCTTGGAAACACAATGCTAAGCTGCTTGTGTTGCTTGGCTCGACGGACTGCATTATTTGCATCTCTCAGGTTCCTAATGCATGGCTTTGGAAACGCTTGCTGGCTCAAACTAGTCTGTACGGACAAATCTGGTCTGGACTGAGATGCCAACCAGTTCAAGCTTCCATTGATTGCTCGGAGAACTTTGATCTGATTTTCATTCAGAGGCTGTTCGTTTGAAACTCCTTTGGGGATGTAAGCACTCTTTATTGATTCTGCAAAGGTCTGCATGGACATGGAAATGGACTTGGCCGCAGAAATCTCCCGATCCCACTCTCCACTTTCGATACGGAAATCTGGCTTTCAATTGAGTGACTGTGTTCTCAATAACGGACCCTGACCTGCTATGGCTGTATCATCCACATGCACACCCATGATTCCCACCAGTGATCCTTCTGTTGACCTCAAGTAGTAAAGACAGGAGTCGTACTTAGAACGTGTCCAACCCAAATCCGTAACCGTAGTGTCGAAAGTGCGATACCACATGACCGGGGCATCGTTCTGTCCATAGACAT